AAGGTGTGTCACAGATGGGGTGGACTTGGGCAGTCTGTAATTTCAACATGTGGGGATATAGTAAGGGCTGAGTAAGGCCGTGGCCCTGGAAGAGGAATAACTAAAATTTTGAAAATATTCTAGGAAGGTAGAATTGACTATGGTGGTATAGAAAGGGTGGTCTTTTGGGGCTCAAAACAGGATGACCTTAAACTAAAATCTGTTTTAATTAATAAAATAGAAAAATCACTGAAAAGAAAAGTTTTCCTGGTTATATCCATAAAGATAACCCCCTATATAGGTCCATTTATAGAGGCATGGGAAAGTGAACATGTACCCTTTTCCTCCACCATCAGCAATTCGGAGAAAACAAGATTTTATTTCAGTAGATGCTCAATGGCTATTTACAATCCAGAATGCTCCATGGATATTTGGAAGCAGTAGTGGCAAGGTCACTTATTGTCTGTATTCAGGAGTTGGGCTTTTATGAGGAAATTAAGTCATACCAAAATATTTCTTTCTCTCTCTCTCTTTCTTTTTTTCCCCTTCTTTTTTAAAGCTGTGCCACTGCATGGCATGTGGCATCATAGTTCCCTGACCAGGGATCAAACCCACACTTCCTGCAGTGGAAGTACAGAGTCCCAACCACTGGACTGCCAGGGAAATCCCCAAGATGTTTCTCTTAATGCAACTCTGATAATAGCCTCATATTGTCCCAAATTCCATACAGTTGGGATGCTTTGAGATGAATGGTTTTGTTTTTTTTTTAAATTCAGATGCCAAGGGTAGGATTAAGTCTGATTGCTTTCTTCATAATTCTTGAATGAGACTGATGGGCTGAAGGCCCACATAGATGTTTTGGGGCTTGGAATTCCTTAAGAGGTAAGAGAAGTTGCCCCTTTTCCCAAGCTCCATGTGCCCTCTCCCATTTTATCATTGCTGTTCGCAGCCAGTCTTAGCTGTTGTCTGCTATGCAAATCATGAACTTCAAGACTCCTGCCACCCTGAAGTGCCGCAGGCACTTGTTAAGTTTGTTGCAGTACCTTTCCCACTGTCAGAGAAGACTGAGCCATGCCTCTCAGTCTTTGTTCATCAGGGTTCCTGCACAGGGGTCCCCTCCCCTTCGTGACATCCTTAGCCACTGTTGTGACTACCTCCTGGATCTTGTCATATGAAAATAGCACAGCCTGGTGGTTAGAACAGTTTTTGGAGTTAGACTCAGTGTCAGATCTCTACTGTACCTCTTATTACCTGCTTGACATTGGAGCAAGGTTCTTTCTCTCTCTAAGCCTCGGTGTTGTTATCTGTAAAATGGATGAATTGCTCTCACCCCACAGCCTCACTTCACTGCATGTAAAGTGCTTGGTATGGGTTAAACACTCAGTAAATGTTAGCTCTTGATTGACGTGGAATTCTGTAGCTCCAGTGACATTTTAATCTCACTGACCACTCATTTGTCCTTCAGATTGCTACATCTGTTCTGCATCTTCATGGGATCCCGTAATCCAGGAAATGGTCTCCCTGTGGAAGAGAAAGTTGAGACACCCCTGGTCCGGTGGTTAAGACTCTGCACTTTCAATGCAGGAGCCATGGGTTCAGTTCCTGGTTGGGAAACTAAATTCCCACATGCTGCTCTGCCAGTATATAAGTAAATTGATGCAACTTTAAAATTAAAGAGAAAGTAACTGTCCTAGGCCCTTGGGTCACATGTTTTCAGATTCATAACTTTGGAGTCTCTATTGCTTTCCAGGTTTCTCAGGAAGACCCCAAGGACTGGCACATTCCTGGGTCAGGAAGGATGGAGCCTGTGACAGGAAGGAAACTGGGCTAAGACAGGAGATATTGTAGAGGAAAGGTGGGCAGAGGCAGGCTGGAGGTTGAGCTCAGTCCTCTCTCCAGAGAAGGTGGTATTTGTACTTCTGTTACTTAGGTACACTTGCAGAATAGCTATTCGTTCTTTAGATAGCTTTTCCAAGGTTCAGAGTAACCATCATTTTGATTGGCTTTTTAGTGAATTGTTTACAACACAAATATTTTGTTACAACCATAATTTGTGCTCCATACCTCATGAGCGGGGGGAGGGAGATGCTGAGGTCTTGTTTTTTCCACTTCTTATACATAAGGAAGAAATTTAAGTTAGACGTCTCATCCAAGGTCAAGCATGTGAGAAGTGGTGGTGGCAACATTCCGAAGGTGCCCCTTCTAAAACTGACCACCATCTCTCCCCATTTATTCCTGCAGCAGCGGCGTCCTCTTTCCACCACTCTGCCCTCAACAGCAAGAGGACCCTCCCCAGCCCCCAGCCTGCCATCGGCAGCATGATCAGAGTGTCCTCTTCCAGGCCCAGGACCCTGCGTCAGGCCTTCAGAGGCCATTCCTAGAACTTCCCTTCAGAAGGGACAGACGGGATACTCACCTTGTTCCCGTGCTCTTGTCCTCAGAGAGCCTTTTCCTTCCTACCTCGCCCCTCAGTGTTCCTTCTCCAGTAGCCCCTGACTTTGCACATCGACTTATTGTCCCCCACTGTTAGAAGGTAACCCTCAGAAGGACAGTGACTTGTTCACTGTATTTCTTGTATTATCCTCTAGCTTTTTTTGTGCTTTGTATGTATTACACATTTGTTGAAAGAATGAGTGACTCAGTTGTGTCTGTCAGAAGCTGAAAGAATATGAGCCCAGGGCAAATGGCGCATGGCATGTCACTTCTCTCTCCCTGCTCCTCCCTCAGCCGCAGCCTGCCAAGAGGTCACGGAAGAAGGAGGGGGAAGAGTTTGTGTGCCTGAGGACTCGGCTTCAGTCCTCCTGGGTGGGCTCTGTGGGGAGCTTCAGAACACCGTGGCATTCTGGCCTAAGCCAGTTAGGGTTGAGCTTCTGTCATGTGTCTGGTTTCAGTGTTGCCAGCACACAGCTGTCTCCAGGCGTGTAGATCTTGTTGAGGGCAAGGTGCACGCTGGCTAAGGGCATGGACACTTGAGTCAAGTGAGCCCTCTGCCAAATTCACTTGGCAAAGTTTCATAACCTTTCTGTGCCTTAGTCTTACTGTTTGTGAAATGGGAATGACCTCACATGGTTGTTCCTAGGATTGAATGAGAGAATCTATGTGAAATCTTTCGCACAAGTGAGGTGCATGCTGAGTGTTCAAGCTGGCTGATACTGTGTGCAGTGCTAATTAAATCCTGTTTCTTCTGTTTGTGTCACAAGTTCCAGGTTGCTAGGTCTGTTTACTCTGTGTGGCTCACTCTGCCCATCTCTGATGGGGAAGAGCTTTGAGGGAGGAGGTGGAAACCCAGGGGGTTTGGGTGGGAATTCAGCCTGTTTTTCTGATTGTTCCCTGTAGAGGGAGGATGCTGTGATGTGAGATTTATGTGTTTGTTTTAGTTTTGGCCTGGTGATTTCCACAGGGGAAAATAATTCAGAGGGAGTAAGTGTCACCACTGGGAACTTGCCTGACTCTCTTTCTCCAGGAGGAAGAGCTCTGCCTAGTGCAGGTAGGGAAGGGCAGCATCTGAAATGTGTGCTGGGAGGCGAGAGGTCCAGGGTGGGCTCTTATTTCTGCCTGCTTCAGAGGACAGTAACAGGCCAAAGTGTGGGCACTGGGGTTGAATTTTAGTTCCTTGTAAAAGACAGTGGAAACCTTCATCATGTCCCCAAGGCACATGGAATGCTGGCAACAGTAGGCCCTCTGCTGTTCTCCAGTTGGATAAATCACAAACTCAGGAAGTAATTTTTTGTTAGTAAACCACTCTATAGGCCAGTGAAATATGAAATACTTTACATTAAAAATGTTTTGAGGGACTTCCCTGGCAGCATTGTGGTTTAAGACTCTCTGCTTCCAATGCAGGGGTCATAGTTTCAGTCCCTGGTTGGGAAACTAAGATCCCACATGTCACATGGCATGGCCAAAATATATATATATTTTAATGTTACGGGGCATGTAAAAAAGTTACAATAAAGTTTTGTTGTTATTGTCAAATTTACTATGGATAAAACAGCTAAAAGATTAGGGAAAATGTCAGTAATCTGGAAAGTGTCTGTTCAAGTTGCTTTGCAAGTAGCAAATTCTTATCTCCTTTAAAGAAAAAAGAAATAGGAAATTGTAGAGAATACCTTATAGCTGGAATTAACACAAGAAAGCAAACAGAGAACAACAAACAGTGTCAGAGAATAGCTCTTGCCAGTACCAGAGGTTGGCAGATAGGGCACATTTGTATCTTCTGTTGGTGGTATGTTGTATGTTTCTAGTACACATATTTTTATAATTATATTTTAATAGTATACATTAACATAGCATTACGTATTTAGTAGTTTTTAAAGTGAATTTTCTGCTTTAATGGACTGTTGTATCAATCAATCAGCTATACTAATATGTATTAAGGAAGTCGTTTTCTCCTGATTTGACACATGGATGTACCAGGGTGTTTTGTTAACTCTGAGAAAACAGGTCTGTCGGCTTTGTTTCATAAGACTGGAAATATGACATACAGCTTTGTTAATAACTATGTAATTACTATGTTAATAACACTTAACACAGGTTACTAAATAACCTGTATCTTTGAATTCCATTTCCAGTGGAATATGTTCTTATAGTCAAACTGACCTTTCAGATTTCTAATCATCTGGCTTTTCTTCTGCCCTCTGAATACTGTGTGGACAGAATTGGAATTGTGGCTTGCTGTGATTCCACTGGAGCTCACAGACAATCAGGGTTGGTGTGAGCAAGAGTCCACATGAGGAGAGTGGAGGACAGGAGTGAGGGAGGCTGGGTGGGAAGTGGGGAGGTCCATTCAAACCTTGAGGTTGGCAATTTGGTGATAAAGTTTTGACTTCTAGGCACCAGGCCACCCAGGTCCAAATGTGAGAACAAAGGCAGATCCTTCTAAAGCATGGTGACTTTGTAACTTCCATGTGATTTCAGAATTCCAGTTAATTGTTACCTCTACTCAAATTGATAGTTGAGAATTTATTGCAGTAATGCAATAGCAGCCCGCAACCTGAAAGTCCCTGACTCTCTTGTCTTCACAGGTGTTGGGACGATGCTTTTTGACAGTGGTGCAGGTCCATTTCCAGTTTTTGACCCAGGCATTACAGAAGGTACAGCCCGTGGCTCACTCTTGCTTTGCTGAAGTTGTTCTGCCAGAAAAAAAGAACAGCAGCAGTGGCGGTGGCTTATCTGGCATGGGCCACACATCGGAACTGGAGGAAGCGGTGCGATCCTGGCGAGGGGCTGCTGAGGTAACCCTGACTCTGGGGAGATCAGTGCCCTTTGTTCAGATAGGAGAGGCTCCAGAGGGCCTTTGCCTGTTGGTTCTTAAAAAGGCCTTTTTTATGTAGAAGTGTGATTTTTCAACTGTTATCATTAGATTGTTGGTTCATTTAACAGTGAATGCTTTTGTAAATGCCCACTTCACGCCAGGCATGCACCAGGTACTGGGAAGACAGCCTCTACTCACAGCCTCCTAGGAGAAGGGGCTTTACAAAAACAGGGTTGAGGAGAGGTCTTTGACAAGAAGTGCAGCAAAGTTTTTGGGAAGAGGGACCAGGGTGAAGAGGTTGAAAGGTAAGTGGAGTAAACAGTCAGCTAGGTAGCTAGATGGGGATGTAGTCAGCAATGACACTCTTCTTGTTGGTATTTTAATACTCCTTTGTTTCTGAGGCTGGAAGAAAAGCCTTGCAAGTCAACACTTTAGGATTTACTGTTCATTTCACAGAGGAAAAGAGAATTTATATTATAATATTTAGTTTGACTTATAACCTCAATTAAATTTGCAAACTATTTCATTTTGTTTTAGAAATCTCCTCTAATTAAATTTGTAAACATCTTTCAACATTTTAACATTATATGTTCTGTTGTTTACTTAGTTCAGTTTTATGATGTTCCGTTGCATTATTTTTTCTCAGTTTCTTTTCCCTGTGTTGGTCTCTTTCATTTTAAAGATTCTCCTCTGCTTTCTTGGTGTTATCGGAGCAGCCATGCAGTGCTCATTGGGGGTTGAGTGCAGGAGTGGTACCTGCTGACTTCATTGCAGGTGACCGGGCAGTGGGGCCCCCACCTTTGTCTTCTCACCTTACAGCCCTCTGTGTCCTCCCGACCGCAGTCTCCTGATCACGCTGCTCACACTTACACCCTTCATAGATGACTCAAGGTCTTCTCTACCCAACCTGTGGGTATCATTCATGCTGAGAGCCCAGCCCAAGTGAGCAGCCTGCTGGTGCTCCTGTGACCTCCTGGCCTTGACCTTTTCCTTCACCCACTTCTGTCTGCCCTGGCTTTCTGCCTTCCTTACTTTGCTTCCAACCAGTGACCCTGCTCCCTACACACTGAGAAAACAGACTCTGCCTAGCAGCAGCCCCTCTTCTCCATTTCCACCCAGATGACACACCTCTCCCATTCAGATCCTTTTCTGTTCCTTCCTCTTCATTACAGCAGAGGAGGCACCCTCTCCTCCTGTCCAAAGTCTGCCTCTCTCCACCCTGCCCCCACAGTCAGGGCTTCTGTGGTGGGACCCTGTGTTTTGTCTCCCACCTCCTCAGCATGTTCCCACCAGTACACAAATAGGCTTGCAAATAAAAATCCTCCGTGCTCTGCCCTGTTTCTCTGCTCTTTTCATAGCCAGCTTCTTGGAAAAATTGTTTGCCTCACCTTTGACTCACCCTAAAAAAATTACTGTTATCAGATATTTCAAGCATATATGAAATGTCACATACATAACCATCTATCTTCCTTTTAGCTTTGTCAAATGAATCTTCACTTTTTGCACATTTGCTTCATACCTTTTATTGTTAACAGAAAAATATTGCTACAAATGCAGTTGAATTCCCTTTATACTTCTCCACTGTCGTATTCATATTTCTTTCTTTCTAGAGATAACCTCTTGATTTTGGAGTGTGTGACTCCTATGCATATTTTTACATTTTTATTCTATATGTGTGTATCCATATGTGTATTGTTTTGCACAATATGAAGCTTTATATATAACGAGCATCATTCAGCTCACTAAAATCTGGCTTCCACTCCTCCACCAGAACATGCCTTGTCTTGTCAAGGTCACTGGTGCCTTCTGTGTTGCCAGAAACATTGGCAGAAATCCAAGGATCCCGTTGACTCCATTTAGCAGCTCACAGCAACTTGGGCCCTGGAAATCCTCTCTCCTTATGAAGAACCAAGTGCTCTTAGTTACCCTCTTACCTCCTAGGCTAGCCTCTCCAACCACTTTGCTATCTTCTCTTCAACATAACTTATGAATGTGAGTTCCTCAAGGCTCAGTTTTACATGTCCTTTTCCCTGAGGGGTCTCCATCTAATCTTGGAACTTTAAAAACCTCTTGTGTGCTGGGGCCATGGAACGTGTGTGTCCAGTTCCCTTCCCTCGTGGTCCCAGGCCCCTGTGTTCAGCTGCTGTCCTCCTCAGGTCTTCAGAAGGCTCAGCCCTTGGCCTTCCCATGTACACCTGTTCCTCTTCAAACCGTCCCTGTGCTAGCAAGTAGTGCCCTCTCACACCGAGTCCCCTGTGCAAGAAACCTGGCATTTATCCTCCAGTTTTTCTGTCACCGCTGCATCCAGGCCCTACGAAAGCCCTGCAGACCCTGCCTCCAACATCCTGTTGTAGACCTGCCCCTTCATTCTGTGTCCACTGTCACTGACTTGTTTCAGGGGCCATTACTCTCCCTGACAGTTTCAGAGGCTGGGCCTGCTTCTGCCCTTCCTGCCTTGCTGTCCCTCATCTCTCTCTGTTTCCTCAGGGTAAGGGGTAGACCCGTCCCATGACCTGCCTAGGCCCACATAGTCTGGCTCCTGCCTCCCCACCAGCCTCCTCTGACCACTCTCCCCTGCTCCCTGAGTTCTAGTTCCTGTGCCTACATCTCTGCCTGTCCGCCCCCCGACCCTGCAGTTCTGTTGACTGCCTCCTCCTCTTTAAATGCAGCCTAAATGATGATTTCTCAGCTTCTTGGGTGCTCCCTGTCACAGTTCTTTATTTCCTTTGGGATGTGTTTTTCCATTTTATATTCTTTAAATGTTTTATTTGCTTGCCTTTCCAATCCATTTCCAACCATTTGCTGCCTTTCCAAGTCAGCTCCAAGACTATAGGGACCTGGTTTGGTGCTCCACTGGCTTATCCAGTGACTCCTCTAATGTAAGACCTGTGAGCTACACATTTTGACTAAATGAAGAGTTCAAGAAAGAGAGCCAAATGGTTTTAAACTGTGAGACTATTAGGGTTCAGGGAGTGATTGGTCTTCAGATAGAATTTGTGAAGTTTTGGAAATACATGACATTATAGCTGCTTAATTTCCTTTAGTCTTGCAATGTTGGTAAATATTTAAAACTCCATTAAACTAGGAGAACAAAAATTAACTGTAAAAATGTTACTTGTTGCACAAGTATTATTGTAATAAAAATAGATGTTGAAAAATTGAAAGACAGTTCATCCTGAATCCTTCGTTACATCTAATAAATTGAATATGTAGTTTTCTATATTCTCTAGTCCTGATTCATATGTATAGATAACTAGCATTTCATCACAAGACACAGATTAGTCTTCCTGTTTTTCTGTCTTACGTCCTTATGTCTTCTTGTTTTCCTGTCTTATGTATTCATTGTTGTTGTTTATCGCTAAGTCATGTCCAACCCTTTGTGACTCCATGACTGTAGCCCACCAGGCTTGTCTGTCCATGGAATTTCCCAGTCAAGAATACTGGAGTGGATTGCCATTTCCTTCTCTCGGGGATCTTCCCAACTCAGGGACTGAACCTGCGTCTCCTGCTTGGTAGGCAGATTCTTTATCACTGAGCCACCTGGGAAGTTCAGTGTACTTTTCATAAACGTATATCTAATGACTAAACAATGATTTCAAAAGTTCTGTTTTTCCTTTAATTTTTCAATGTAGTTTTTTTCCTATTGGTGAGGTTTTTTACTTTGGTGTATAGGACCTCTCAACCAAATAGATATATTTTTTAATTTTGGAAACTTGAAGGGCCAATATAGTAGGGTATCTGGTGGCTCAGACAGTGAAGTGTTTGCTTACAGTGCAGGAGACCCGGGTTCAATCCCTGGGTCAGGAAGATCTCCTGGAGAAAGAAATGGCAACCCACTCCAGTACTCTTGCCTGGAAAATCCCATGGACGGAGAAGCCTGGTAGACTACAGCCCATGGAGTCACAAAGAGTTAGACACAACTGAGTGACTTTTAAAGCAGAGAAACTTAAAATGTGATTTTTAAAAATATGTGTATATGTATATATATGTAACAGGTAGGTAAGTCTTTTTTGCAGGGTTTTTTTTTAACTGTGCCATGAGCCTTGTGGGATCTTAGTTCCCAGACCAGGGATTGAACCCAGTCCCTCAGCAGTGACAGTGTCAAATCCTAACCGCTGGACCACCAGGGAATTCCCAGGGGGTTTCTTAAATAAGGTAGTGCTATGTCAGGTTTGTTTTCTCGTCAGTGCTTGGTTTAGTCTTTCAGAACTTCTGGCTGCCCTCTTCATAATAGAGATAATCCAGAATGACTAGTGCTTAGATCGTTTCTTGCTTTATTTTAGTTGTTTCTTGTTCTTTTAATTTTGCTAGTATCTGTAACATCCTCTTTTACCTACCAGTCACTATTTCTGTTGCAGGCAACATCTAGACTGAGAGAAAGAGGCTGTGATGGCCGCCTGGCAGGAATTGAAGTTCAACAGCTCTTCTGTTCTCAAAGTGCAGCAATTCCCGAGCACCAGCTAAAAGAACTGAACATAAAAATTGACAGTGCTCTGCAAGTATGTTTTTCAAAACTAGCACATTAATATCTGAGGAATGAAAACAAGGGGGGGAGTTAAAGCTTTGATGTTGAACCAGTTGGAAAGAGTAATGGGGTAGTAGTTGGCCTCATGTCTTTTAGTAACTATAGAAATTTAAGATTTCTATTTTCACTGGACTTTGTCAATTTAGAATCTACTATGTGATCTTGATTCTTGAAAAAAATTTCTTTGCAGGCATATAAAATAGCTCTGGAAAGCTTAGGTCACTGTGAATATGCAATGAAAGCTGGTTTCCACCTGAATCCAAAGGCAATAGAAGCCAGCTTGCAGGTACGTTGTTCTGTCTGGTGGCTCCTTGGAGCTGTGGTGTGGCAGTCACACCATCCACATTAGCCAGCCGTCTTGAGAGCTGAGCTGTGGGTCACCTCTCCTGTCCTCTCCAACCCTTTTTCAGGGCTGCTGCAGCGAGGCAGAGGCGCAGCAGACAGGGCGGAGGCAGACCCCGCCGCAGCCCATGCAGTGTGAGCTTCCCACTGTGCCCGTGCAGATAGGATCAAGCTTCCTGAAGGGGGTCTCCTTCAACGAGTCGGCTGCCGACAACCTGAAACTCAAGACGGTAGCTTCCCATGGTGTTCCTCCAACCTGGGTGTGAACTTGAAAATGGAGTTCTTAAGGACACCTGATGGCTTGTAAAGAATCTGGATTAAAAAGCAAAACTGAAGTGAAGCCAGGAGGCATTGACCTTCCTCAGTAAACTGTTGTCTAAAAGCAGACTAGAGTGATGTTTCCCTCCCCCCCATTTGATAGGTCTTTATTGAGCAATTAGTGCCAGGCTTTACTGAGCGTTAGTACCCGGCTAGGAGGTTTGACAGCCCCCAAGGTTGTGGTAGTAACATAGGATGAGGGGGCCTCAGCTAGAGGGTTAAGGGATGTGACCCTTGAGAAGAGGACTTAAAGCAGAGAAAAACCTGAAGAATAAGTGTAGGGGTGAGGCTGGGGCTGTGAGACAGCCAGGAAGTGAGAACCTGTCCCAAGAGCTGAAGGTCTTCCTTAGAGCTGAAGTGGGGTGTCCTTTGGCTGTCAAGTATAGTCCGTAGTAGGATTTGGATTTAATAGCCCTGAAATGAAGGCTGGGCTCTTCTAGTTTATAAAAGTTGTTCAGGTGATTCTAACGTGTAGTCAGACCTGAGAGTCTAGAACAAGGGGAAGACATGGCACTGACCAAGGCTGGAGAAGCAGCCAAGGGAGATGGAAAGCCCCCAGTTTGAGGCAGGTGCCCCACCATGGCAGGTCACGTGATTAGGTTGGCATTTCTGAAAGATTCCCCTGGCTTCAGGATAGATTTTTGGCTGGAAGGAGAGCAGCACTGAAGGCTTTTGGCCATGGCCCCATCTGGTGATAATGGGAGGCAAGTGGAAGGATTCAGGAGCAACCTAGAGGTTGTAATAAGCAGGACTCCATGATTAACTGGCTATGAGAGGGAGGGGAAGGGAGATGAGGCCCAAGTTTCTGGCTAGGACAGCAGTTTTGGTGCTGCTTATTAAGGCTTGATGATAGTCATCAAAAATACATTTTTGTACATGATTTTAAGATTGCTTTTGAAATGTCAAGGGGAGCCATCCAGCAGGCAATTGGATATATGGGTCTGGAGCCCTGAAGTGGGATCAGGGCCTGGGTCCTCACAGACAGATGGTCTCTGAAGCCAGAAGAGAGGCTCGGGGAATACAGGAAGTGTGTGGAGGGGGTTCAAGGAAACTTTGGCATTTAAGAGAGTGGCCGTGACTATTTTATAGTCACAGGGCCATAAGTGAACTTCTTCAGGCGTGTGCTGTATCTGCCACGGTGTATTCTCCTTATGGTACCTTGATTGGAGTACACTGTTGCTGTGAAGTCCAGCTTGTTGGGAGAGTTCTGGATCACCAGTTTGTTATGAGAGAATGTAACTCAGGAATAGCCAGATGGAAGAGGCGCCTGGGACAAGGCCTGGGGAAGGGGCTTGGCGGTTCCCTGTTCTCTCCAGACAGCACAGTCCCAGCACCTCCCTGTGTTCTCCAGCCCCGAAGTTCCTAGGGTAACTTTTAAAGAGACTTTTGCCAAGTTAATTTTTTTAATAATTTTGTCCAAAGTGTATAAAATAAAAGGTTTTGAAAGTACACTATAAAAATGCTGTTTATGATTATGCTCTTGGGATGGGCTTTCATTTCCTGGCTGTCTCACGGCCCCAGCCTCACCCTCACACTTATTCTTCAGGTCTTTTTCTGCGTTAAGTCCTCTTCTCAAGGGTCACATCCCTTAATCCTCTGGCCGAGGCCCCCCTCGGCCTGTGTTACTATCACAACCTAGGAGGCTGTTTGTGGTTAATGTTTCAGTGAAATAAATAAGAGGAGAAATCTTGCCCTAGTACTGAAGTAATTAGGACCATCTGTGGAGCATCCTGTATGCCGGGCATGTGTCAGATGTTTGCCATGCATCATCTCAATTAATGCTCACCCATGAGGTGGGCACAGCCCTTTGCCCCACTTGACCGACAGAGGAGCTGGAGCCCGAGGCCACACAGCTAGAAAGTTGCAGACTGGAACAGAAGCTTATGCTGACCACGTGTTCATCCAGAATAAGGATGTTTTCTGGTATTTACTTGTATCAGAAAATTTTGTTTCCTTATTCAGAGGGATTCAGAACTTCAAAATTCCTTAGCCAATTTGTATCAGTAGATTGCTAAATAATGCTGTTTTGTGCTAGAATAGAAATCACATATGTGTATTAATGCACGTGTATCCATATCTAGCCAGTCACAGGTTTGAGAAAATCTTTGAAGGTAATTGATGAGAATTACTTATGAAATCAAAATGAAGTGACTTGGGAGAACATAAAATTCTCTTCTCTTGAGGGCTATTTTGTACCTATAAATGCATTTCTGTAAATTTTGGAACCTTTTATGGCTTTATTTTGAGGTGTGAACTTTGTTTTTATCAATCTGTAGCATACGATGTTACAGCTGATCAAGGAGGCAGGCTGCTATAATGGAATCACACCCAGGGATGACTTTCCTGTGACTGAAGTCCTGAACCAGGTGTGCCCATCCACGTGGCGGGGTGCCTGCAAGACTGCCGTGCAGCTGCTGTTTGGCCAGGCCGGACTGGTGAGTGAGCACATGTGACGGACAAGGGGGAGTAGAGGAAGACATTTTAAGCATGTGAGCATGTGCTGTGGGCTCATGTGTGGAAACACTGGATAATATAAACAGCCCTTTGGTTGCTGCAGAGGCTAGACCAGATGGGAAAGGAAGAGCATCATTAAAAGGTCTTTTTTTTTCCTTTACTAGATTGATGATGTGTATCTGCAAGGGACCTAGTTGCAAAATGGTGTCTCAGGCGTTCCAGATTTTAAGGAAACCATCACATTAGTGATGGTAGGCCCTTTCACCTGGCCTGACTCTCCAGGGCTACAGTGGGTGTCCTTCTGTTGCTCAAACACAGCAGCCTTCTTCCAGTCTCAGGTTTTTGCCCTTGATGTTCCTTTTCCCTGAGAATACTCCTCTCAGATCTTCATGTGACTCACTCTCACTTTCCTTACGTCAGCTCAAACATCACCTCCTCCGATGGTATAAGTAGTGCCCCGTCCAGTCACTTTGTACCTCAGCTCTCTGTTTATCTCCTTTTATACAATAAAAATAACAACGGCAACTGCAAACTAAGTTTGGTCTCTTTACCTTTGGTGAGAAGAATAACTTTTGCCAAATTTGGATGGTGTTAGGAAATCAACATCTAGGTGTCTTTAATTTTGTTTTTTTTCACTATTTATTTGGTTGCACCGGGTCTTTTGTGACACTCAGGATCTTTAGTTGCTGCATGTGGGATCTAGTTCCCTGACCAGAGATTAAACCCGGGCCCCCTGTATTGGGATTGTGGAGTCTTAGCCACTGGACCACCAGGGACATAACAACATTTAGGTTTTTGTTAGGCACCTTTGGTCTGTGTCCCTTTGTATTTATCCTACGTTCTAGCATGAAAGATTGCTTTTTGAAGTGTTATAGGTCCTCCTCCAGGGGATCTTTCCAATGAAGGAAGATCCCTTGGAGGAAGACATGGCAAACCATTCCAGTATTCTTGCCTGGAGAATCCCATGGACAGAGCAGCCTGGCAGGCTACAGTCCAGAGGGTCACATAGAGTCGGACACAACTGAAAGAACTTGGCACGCATGCATAGCATTTTAGAAATTTAAGGAAGTTAATTAGAGATTAAGATAATTAAAGAACTGTTTCTACTCTGATTCCTACTTTATCCATAAAAGGAGCTGTTGGGAAGATGCAGTCCTTCTGTTTGGTGTGGGTGAGTGCTCTGGTGGCCCAGCTCAGGGTAGTACTTGCCTTGTAGAGGGCCAGGTGGGGCCTGTCCACAGTGTTGAGTTACATTTCCCTTAAAATCTGTTCCTTAGTATAGGAACCCCTGAGAAAAAGAGTAAACTGGAGACCCCCTGCTGAAGTATGGAGGAGCCCACTGCCTTTAGTAGATTGATCCATATTCCCAAAGACCATTTTAGCTGCAACTAGGGGAACCATGTCAACAAGTTCTCCAGGAAGGAGTGTGTAAAATAAGGTAGGAAGACCCAAACACAGTTCTGAGAAAATATCAGTTAAAAAAAAAAAGTCCCATGTTATTCAGAGAGCAAAAACTTCTTCCTAGTTCTCTGCTCCTTGATCCCAGGGCAACTTTGTGTGTGACTGATGAAGAAACTTCAGATTATTGTTCTGGGGATGGGAGGAAAGAGGAAACACCTGCTTGTTCCAACAATGGCTATTGCTTGGACAGGAAGTCTTTTCTAAAGGACGCTGCAGACCAGCTGTGGGAACTCTCTTTACAGCTATGGAAATCGGCTTCATTAGATGCTGAATTTGGAATCCTAATAAGCAACTCTGCACCGCTTTGCCCTTCCTGAAATATTACAGATTTGGTTTTAAAGTGTTTTATGGTTATTTTTTTAAAATTCTTTTAGTTATTTGAAAATATATTCATCACTTTGTCACACCCTTTAAATTACAAAGGATACTATATCATCTGTGTAATATTAAAGACTCCCCTCAGGACTTCCCTGGTAGTCCAGTGGTTGAGACTCTGCACTTCCAATCCAGGGGCTGCGGGTTCAATCCCTGGTCGGGGAACTAAGATTCCACATGCTGCATGGCACAGCCAAAAAAACAAAAAACAAAAAGCCGAAGAAAGAAAAACTCTCTTCCAGGAAGTTCCCTGGTGGTCTGTTGGTTAATACTCCATGCTTTCATAGCTGTGGCCCGGATTTAGTCCCTGGTTGGGGAACTGAGGTCCCACAAGTGCACAGCGTGACCAAAAATAAAACAAGAGAAAATCACTGAGAAAGGATTGGTTCTGCATTTTTCCTGAAGTAATTCTGTTCTTATTGATGGTTGAGGATCAAGTGGCCTTAACAAAAAGCCTCACCATCTTCTGGCTCATATTCGGTCATTACACATAGGCTGCTCTAAAAGCATTGGTTTGATTTTTAATGACGTTTTTATTTCTTTCAAGTGCATCAAGTGAAAAAATACTTAGATGAAGGAAACAAAGTAATTCCTAATTAACATATTTACAGCTTGGAAGAAGTACTAAAAATGATTGTAAAGTTCAGTACATCCTGCACCTAGAATGCAGTTTCTGTTTTTTTGAAGTATTACTGTTTTCGGTCATCTTTATTACTTGTTGTCTCCATGGGGTTCCTGACTGGCTTACGTGTTTCTGTTGCCAGATAGTTTACTATCTTACCAGAATAGTTCTTACCAGAGTTACTCAACATTGATAGGCTCATGCATTTGATTTGTTTATGATCCATTTTTCTCTTTGAAAGCTGATTTTTGTTTTCGTTTCTCTCTTAGGTGGTAGTTGATACAGCACAGATTGAAAATAAAGAAGCCTATGCCCCCCAAATCAGTTTAGAAGGCTCCAGAATTGTGGTTCAAGTACCATCCACATGGTAATGTGACTTTTACACTAACACAGGCCTAAGCTTTGATTGATGTTTGCACATCTTTGAAAAGATTGCATTGCTTATGACAAATTTGTTACTGAATCCACAGCTTTTGAACAGAGTATATCATTTTCTCTAAGTCACCCAGCATTTCTCTGAAGCTGAGTATAAAACATAGAATTTCCTCCCTTTTGTTCCAGCAACAACCCTGCTGATCTAGAGGTCATGTCATTGCACACCCAGTGCCATTGCAAATCTGGAGGCAGACGGAGCTGTTTCATTTTTAATTATTTGCTTATATTTGTAAACTTATAATGAAGTATTATTATTATTATTGTTATTTGCTTTGGCTGCATCCCTTCATTCTTTCTGGAGTTATTTCTCCACTGATCACCAGTAGCATATTGGGCACCTATTGATCTGGGGAGTTCATCTTTCAGTGTCCTATCTTTTTGCCTTTTCATGCTGTTAATGGAGTTTTCAAGGCCAAAATACTGAAGTGGTTTGCCATTCCCTTCTCCAGTGGACCACATTCTATTAAGGCTATGGTTTTTCCAGTGGTCATGTATGGATGTGAGAGTTGGACTATAAAGAAAGCTGAGCACTGAAGAATTGATGCTTTTGAACTGTGGTGTTGGAAAAGATTCTTGAGAGTCCCTTTGACTGCAAGGAGATCCAACCAGTCCATCCTAAAGGAGATCAGTCCTGGGTGTTCACTGGTAGGACTGATGTTGAAGCTGAAACTCCAATACTTTGGCCACCTGATGCGAAGAGCTGACTCATTTGAAAAGACCCTGATGCTGGGAAAGATTGAGGGCAGGAGGAGAAGGGGACGACAGAGGATGAGATGGTTGGATGGCATCACTGACTCAATGGACATGGGTTTGGTGGACTCCGGGAGTTGGTGATGGGCAGGGAGGCCTGGCGTGCTGCGGTTCCTGGGGTTGCAAAGAGTCAGACATGACTGAGCAACTGAACTGAACTAATGAAGTAGTATTCTTAATTTATTCAAACAAAAGCCCCTAGAAATCAGTAAGAAATGGGCAAAGCACAGATAGGTAAATCAGAGGAGACATGGTCAACAAAGAGATGAAGAACTTGTGTAACCTCACCTAACAAAGAAAGGGAGGCAAAGCAGAAAATACAATGTCATTTTGCCCATCATGTTATTAAACTGTTTTAGAATAGCAGTACTAGATTTGGTCCAGACTGTACAAAAACAGGCACAGATGTTGTTGAATAAATCACACAGCCTTTCTGGAGGGCAGTTTCATTTGTCAGAAACCTAAAATAAGGGCTGTGACCTCAATAGTTCCACCTCTAGGGATTTATCCTTGTGATGTGCCTACAGATTAAGCACAGTTTTATTAGTAAATAGGAAAAATTAAAAATATATTGGAATACTTTTGCTATTCATTCATGGGCAGAATGAATATTTAACTTGATAGAAAATGTTTGAAGTAATTAGATAGGAAGAGATAGTAAGGAATAGTGACACTATTGGGGCCCATGCGGACTAACATGGTAGTTGGGTAATGCGTTTGAATTGTGTTTAAATCATTTCTTCTTGAAATGTGAAGGGGGTCCAGTGGAGATTCTGCTTAAAGTTTTAGAATCTCTTAATATATTGAGTGTGAAAGCAGAAGTGTTAAGTCACTCAGTCATGTCCGACTGTTTGTGACCCCATGGACTGTAGCCCCAGCAGGCTCCTCTGTCCATGGAATTTTTCAGACAAGAATATTGGAGTGGGTTGCCATTCCCTTCTCCAGGGGATCTTCCTGACCCAAGTATCAAACCCGGGTCTCTTGCATTGCACACAGATTCTTTACCATCTGAAGGGTTGGTAATTCACTGCATGTCCCAGAATCTCCCTTCTGTGAGTTTCTCCACAAATTTCTAAATTTGATTATTAGTTAATCTATATTCATATCTTCATTCCTGTCAAACAGTAGATTTTTTTTTTGGACTCAGCTTGCAGGATCATAGTTCCCTAACCAGGGATTGAACTTGGGCCCTCAGGAGTGAGAGTGTAGAGTCCTAAACCACTGAACTGGCAAGGAGTTCCCCAAGCAGTAGATTAAAGCTCATGTTTTTGTAAGAGTTTTGTGTTCCCGAGTTTGTTTTCTAATTCAGGTTCTTATTGAAAACCATTAAACTTAACTAGGATTCTCCTTTTAAAGAAAACATTTCCAACTCTTGGATAATTGGGTAAATATAAACAGCTAGTACTAAAATGCTTAATACTGCAGTTTACTTCCAGAACTCCCTGTATGATTGATTTCCTTTGTAATTCATTGCCCATCCTTGAAAGACCTCACAGACTGCAGACGCTCCCTCTGCTGGCTCCTTTTGGTAAAAATGGCATAGTTTTCGTGTTTTTGTTTCAAGTTAGAAAATATGTGCTTTTTGAGAAGAACTCAAAAAGAAGTAGTTGCTTTACTCCAACTTAGAGAAAATGAAATTATTAGCAAAACTAGTCAAGAATTTATTATTTGCTTTGCTTTTAGTATAATGAAGTATTTAGATTCTTTTTTTCCCCCCAAAAAGTAGTATCTTACTTAGATTTTTAAACTGTCATATTTAAGCTGTTCACCCATTCTTTCTTTCATCAAATATTTACTGAGTACTGAATATGTGACAGACACTGTTCGAGGCTCTGGGGATTAAATCAGGAGCAAGACAGACAGGGTCCCTGCCCCTAATAGAGCTGGCTTTGTAATGGCATGGGGGTTGGGGAGGGGACTGCTAATAAGCATAGGAGTTAAGTTCAAGCACTGGCAAGCGTACGAGGGGAATAAGAGTAGAATGACATCATCTGTTAGAGAATAACAGGTAGAGATGGCAGGAGGAAGCTGTTTTGGATGAGGAGGTCAGTTATGAAGGGTCTCTTTAAGGATGTGACATTTGAGAGGAGCCTGCCATGCAGAGAGCAGATGGGGAAAGCATCACAGGCAGAAGGAACAGCAAATGCAGAGATCTGAGGAGTGCGGTGGTGTGACTGGAGGTATGCTGGGTGGGGGTGAAGACAGGAGTCGTGGAAGCCAGGACTTGCAGGGTCCCTGGGGGACTAGGGTTTTATCTAAGAGCAGGTAGAAGGTTTTAAGCCAGTCAGGGTGATTTGTCAAAAAGAATAGGTTTAGTGTCTTCAGGGGATTTTACTGATCACTTCTCAAGACTGATGAATAACATAAAAATACCATTCTATTGATTTTTAGAAAGAAATTATTAGTATTAACAGAAACCATAGTACTCCTTTCTGTATGACCAGAAAATGCTCACCTAGTGGGCGGACATGTGACCAGCCAGATCACAAGCAGAAGGTGGCTTGAGAACATAGAGCAAGTGTGTCCTGTGGTCAGTGATTCCAGGCTGAGAGAATCAGGTGCATGAACCTCAGCCAGGTACACTGGCCAGGATTCTCTCCTAGGAGCCCAGGGTCTGGTCGGGTGCTGGCAGAGCTTGCCTTGTTGCTCGCTTTCTCCAGGGTTTCTGAGACTGACCAGCTCACATCCTCATATATATTTCTTCTCAAGCCAAAGTCGCATTGGGGAGTGCTACTGCCTCCTTAGGATGGCTTCGGCAAGTGTTATTTGCACCATTTAGCCCCCAGAGCACTTGGTAATAGATAGCATCTTCCTGGTTCTCCCTCTCAGAAAAGGCCTCTTGGTGGAGGTGCCCCGGGTGGGCAGTGGGGACCTGAATGCCAGCTGGAAGGCAGCTTTCAAAGGGGAGCAGTTCAGGCAAAGGCAACAGCCTCAGAGATCCTGAGATGTGAGCAGACCCAAAATATTCAGGGCGTGTGAGAAGCCTCGTAGTTGGGACACCGTAAAGAGAGGTGACAGTGAAGAGGATTGTGTCCAGAGAGGCAGGATGCCTGGGTCACAGAGTCTGGAGGGCTGTGGTGAGGGGTTTGGAGTTTATTTCAGCCACAATAGGATGCCACTGGAGGGTTCTGTACAGGGGAGTGGTGTGTTCTGATTTGTGCTAGAGGAGGCTCACTCTTGCTGTGTGGAGGAAAGTCAGGGCTGAAGCCAGTGTAGGACAGTGAAAGGGCATTACGACACCTGGAAGGCAACCCCTGCACCGAACTCTTCTCTTCCTACTAAACAGATTCTAGACAGTTAGAAATCTGTGGAGACGCCAGGCCCTGTTGTATTGCTTCCCCCTCCTATTGCAGAGAAGCAAGTCCCAGTGTTAGCTGTAGCATCCTTTAAATATTCTTATGACTACTAAATTTTTCTTTGGTGCCAAAAGTTGTGGCCTTTTGTATAAGGCCTGCTTGAAAATTGGAACCCCGTTGCGGAGAAGGGCAGCCCAGACTCATGCAACTTGGTTGGTACCTAGGTGCCTGAAAGAAGACCCTGCTACCATGTCCCTGCTGCAGAGAAGCCTAGATCCCGAGAAGACGCTGGGCCTGGTGGACGTGCTCTACACGGCGGTGCTGGACCTCACCCGCTGGAGGGCAGGGAGGTGGGTGTCCCTGCCGAGGAGCAGTGTGACCACTTACAGGGTCATGTGAGCTCATGTCACTCATAGTATGTGAGTAAATAAGGCAAGAAGGGGAACTTTGGGACAACTTGTTATTTGGGAATAATTTCAAGCTTACAGAAAAGTTGCAGGAATAGAACAGAGAATCGGCTTTTATTTACCCAGACTCCCCGGTTTGTGAACACTTTTGCCTTCATTTGTTGTATCATTTCAGAGTTAAATCCATCAAGAGGATTTTAACCAAGCTCACATTCTCCCTATGAACTCAGAGCAGAAAGGTGTTTAGAAAGTTTACTTATATCTTGCATGAAATTTATTTATATCTGAAGGCACTGACAGTTGCAAGATGGTCTGTTTGTGAATAAACTTTTGAACTGGTAGAGACCTTAAACATCTAGTCACAGGCCCTCCGCATGTCTTCATTCCTGAGCACACAGAGGCCAAGAACAGTGAGTTGCTTTAACCAGGGTCACTCCAGCCATCATCTGCCCAGCTCACACCCCATGCCCTTTCCATCTCTAGGACTTTCTTTCAGTACTGGAAAAAAGTACCCAGAAAACTTTGGAAGTAACAACCCTCTGTTCTTGGCACTGTCTGTTAATTACCTCCAAAGACAAGCTGTGCTGCCTAGTGTCCCTTGGTCTTGCCCATTCACCCCTCTCTGCTGTGTGGATTAGTCTGTTGACCCTCTGCTGGATCTGCCAGGCTCCCCTGTCATCCAGGCACACAGCCGGCCTCTGCCAAATGTATCTCCCACGCTAGGCTAGGTGTGCTTTGCTCTCCTGTGTTGCTGTCAGAGGGTTTCACTCAAAATCCTCATGCCAGAATCTAATGTAGTTTTCATGGCCCTGTGTTAGACACGGTGAAAGTGAAAGTGTTAGTTGTTCAGTCGGATATGGTAGATGTTTTATAATAAATATAGATAGTAAGTGCTTAAATTATGTACTCTTAAAACTTTTGAGTGTTTATGAAATAAATGAACCCATTTCCAAACAAAGAGGTCTTTTTATTCTTAAAGTCTTTCTTGAACACGAAAGCAATCCCATTTTATTGTCCAATTTGTATGTTTGTCTTTTTTTTTTTTTTTTTAACACATTTCTCTTTCAATAGGGAACAAGCTTTACCCTGCATACAGATCCAGCTTCAGAGGGAGATCTGTGATTTTGGAAATCAGGCTGACTTGCCTTCTGGGAATGGGAACAAGTCTTCAGGTGGCCTGCAGAAGACATTCTCCAAGCTGACCTCCCGGTTCACCAAGAAAGCTTCCTGTCCGAGCTCGAGCAGCAGCACAAGTTACTCCATTCCAAATACCCCTTCCAAAAACATCTTCATAGCTGGGTGTTCGGAAGAGAAGGCCAAAATGCCCACTAATATGGACTCAAGGCTACAAAGCATTTTGAACATTGGTAATTTCCCTAGAACTGCAGACCCTTCACAGTCAGCTCAGAATTCCAGTAATCAAATGGCCAATGGTTTTCTCCTAGAGAGGCGTGACAACTTCCTGCAAGGGGATGATGGCAAGGATGAGAAGGGTATGAATTTGCCAACCGATCAGGAAATGCAGGAGGTGATCGATTTTCTCTCGGGCTTTAACATGGGCCAGTCACACCAGGGCTCCCCACTGGTGACACGGCGCAACTCTGCCGCCACAGCCATGGTGACTGAGCAGAAGGCAGGAGCCATGCAGCCACAGCAGCCGCCACTGCCAGTGCCCCCACCACCGCGGCCACCCCAGGCTGGGGCGCACACACCTCTGACACCCCAGCCGGGCTTGGCACCTCAGCAGCAGTCCCCAAAGCAACAGCAGCCCCAGGTCCAGTACTACCAACACCTGCTGCAACCTGTCGGACCGCAGCAGCCCCCGCCCCAGCCCCGGGCCCCTGGGAAATGGGTATCCGGCTCATCCCAGCAGCCAGCGCAACCCGTCGGAGCTGGTCTGTCTCCCCTTGGCCAGTGGCCTGGCATATCTGATCTCAGTTCTGACTTGTACAGCTTGGGTCTGGTGAGCAGCTGTTTGGATGATGTGATGTCGGAGGTTTTGGGACAAAAGGCACAGGGACCTAGAAATAACACCTGGCCAAACCGTGACCAAAGCGATGGAGTCTTCGGGATGTTGGGAGAGATTCTGCCTTTTGATCCTGCAGGTATGTGAAACCCCTCCCCACCTTGGGGTTTTAACTTAAATAGTATCACCAAGGACTTTATAGGCCCTCTCTGCCATGGCCTTCCTTGTGGGAGGCAGTGACTTAATCCCCTTTAAAGACCCTTTCTCACTGCCTGATGGCAAGTATTGGGCAGCTCCAGCAAAGGGAGGAAACAGTAGTTAGAATGAGTCTGAGGAGGTAAGGGAAACTATTTTCTTACTTTGTAGAGGACAGAACTGAGGCTGAGAGAAGCTGAGTGACTCAGAGTCCCGTCAGTCACGAGGTTCCAGTTGGAGCCCCCCCATCCATGGCAGCCAAGTGGCTGGCCCTTCCCGGGCTGCTTTTTCCTAATCACATAACCTGTTCTGTGATTCTCTTTTGCCTAAACTCTAGAACCTGTGAAAGGTGGCAAAGCACCCTCCTACCTTCACAGAATTTGGCTTTTCCTGGCCTACACAGTGTGAAAATTCCCCAGAGTTACCTTAGGAAATTAGAAAAAGAATTTAGAAACAAAACAAAAATAAATTAGGAGGAGGAGTTAAGGATAAAAGTTGTTCTACACCTGAAACTAAAATGATATTGTAAATTAGCTATACTTCAATTTCAAAATAAAACCTGAATAAAATAAAAGCTGGATAAAAGCTGAAGCTAAATAAATTTGAAAGAAAAATATAGTAAACATTGTAAATAAATCTAAAAGAAGGGTCTTTAGAAAACCAGTAAAATAGAGAAACCAGTTTATTGCAATCCTGATTAAGATAGAGCAAAGAAAAACAAGATTAGGAAAGAGAAAGCCACAGATATAGGAGAGATTAAAAGAACTTTAAGGGTTTCCCTGGTGGTTCAGTGGTAAATAATCCATCTGCCAGTGCAGGCGGCACAGGTTCACTCCCTGATCTGGGAAGATCCCACGTGCCAGGGAGCAGCTAAGCCTGGGAGCCCCAACTACTGAGCCTGTGCTCTAACGCCTGGGAGCCCCAACTATGGAGCCTGTGCTCTAACGCCTGGGAGCCCCAACTACTGAGCCTGCGCTCTAACACCTGGGGGGCCCCAACTACGGAGCCTGTGCTCTAACGCCTGGGCGCCCCAACTACGGAGCCTGTGCTCTAACGCCTGGGCGCCCCAACTACTGAGCCTGTGCACCGTAGTCCCCATGCTCTGCATCAGGGGAAGCCACCGCAGTGAGAGACTATGCACCACAGCTAGAGGGTAGCCCTCATTTGTTGCAACTAGAAAAAAACCTGCACAGCAGCAAAGACCAAATAAATAAATAAATAAACTATTTAAAAAACAAATAGTACTTTAAGACATTGTCACATGATGTGATGACACCATACTAGAAAACTGAATGGAAAATAGAATCTTTTCTAACAAAATAAACATGATCAGAATTGCACCAAGTAGTGGAAAACCTGTCCAGTCTATTCCAGGAAAAGAGATCGGAAAGGGAGTTATGAAGCCAACATGATTTTACTGTAAAAACATAACTTTTTATGAATGTAGATAGATGCAAGAATATGTAAGCAGTATATCAAAGGAGTTATATCTGGTTCACTTCAGTAGTATAAGATAGTTCAGTCTAAGGAACTCAGCTCCTATAGTAATCTGTTATTTCACCCAGCAAATGAGAAAAACTCATACAGCAGAAGATGCCATCAAGACATTTGGTAAAAGACACGAGCAGTTCTTAAGTAAACTCAAAACATGAATAGAAGGAAATGTCTTGAATATGAAAAAGATTATCTACCAGTAGTAGCAAGTAGTACTTTGTACAGTAAAACAAAATCATTCCAGTTAAATCAAGACCCAAACAGTGTGGCAAATGATACTACCAATACCATGTGACTTTGTCTTGAACTTTCTGGCAAATGTAGCAAGACAAAAACAAAGGAAAGAAGTGCGTTAGAAAAGAGACATTAAAAAAAGCACGTCTCTTGGGACTTCCCTGATGATCCAGTGGCTAAGACTCCGAGCTCCCAGTGCAAGGGGTACGGGTTTGATCCCTGGTCAGGTAACTAGACCCCATATGCCGCATACAAGATACAAGATAGATATATATATATATAAATTGATTACTTTTTACTCTAATTTTTTATATGGAGGTGAAAAATAACCACCAGAAGAGATTGCCTACCGCGTGAACCTAGCATTGTCTAAAATTAAAGGAATTTTTCTGTCTTCTCAGAGTTCCTCATACTGCCGCGTGTGCTCTTTTGTTCTCGCTCCCCTTGTGTGGGTGGATGTGGGGCCCCCACTAGGGGAAGGTCTGATGGTCCCACCCTGCTATGGAAGAGCAAGCCCCTCTAGGCACCACCAGTGGGGGCTGGTGTGGCACATTTTCTCAATCGCTGAGAAACAGTCTGTACATTTTTTGACAGTCGCGTAATTAAATCCAGAGTATTAATGGTGTTTGGCAGAACTTTATCATCTTTAATCTCTACGGGAGCCGAAACAGCCTGTATGTCATTAACCTAGGAATCCTACTAGCTTTTCCTTCTGGATATCCCTTTCTTACCTTCAAGTCCTTCATGTAGCTCCCTCCACATGCCACCCCAGCGGCGTAAGGTTTACATGGCTCTTTTTGCAAGGTAAGGGCATTCTGGAAGGATGAATTCCAGAAGGCGCCCTTTCAGGCGGGGGAGGGGGCGGGCAGCTAGAACCGAGTGCCGCCTCTGGCCCAGGCGCACGCAGCCCCTGCGCGCCCCCTTGTGGCCATCTTCACGCAGTGCACACATGGCGGTGCCCAGAGAGCAACCTGAGGCTTGAGCCCTAGTGTATCTCCCACCTTGAAGCTGGAAAGTATTCACTCATGAGTCATATTCAGTTTGTGAACTACAGACATTTTCATACTGTGTCTTTTTGTTTGACTTTGTCTAAATGTCTTCTGTGCTGTTTTTCTTCCACTGGTACTGGCTTGCACATTCTTACTCAGTTCTGTGCAATTTGTTTCTATCCACCTCTTCATACTTTCTTAAATTTCACCTTACTCACTATCACTTTTATGATCTTCAGGCTGAATTAGCAGGTCCTTCTTCAGTATCCAGGAGAATATTGGATCAGACTTGAGCCCAAGAGGGAAGACAGGTATTCTCTATCTGGCTGACCCTAATGCTTTGATAGCTTTCAGGTTATCTTTTAGTTGAAGTCATCATCTGATCCTCTTAGTTGTTAAGTATGTAGCTCCAGACATTGGAAATTTTTAAAGTAACTAGTATTTGTCTTTCAAATTTAGCCTTGGCTAAAGCAGACCTTTTTGTTCTCTGATTTTGTGCACATTCAGCTTGCCCTGCTCTAGGCACACCCCTTCCCACAGTTCCTATGCACACACCATTCCCCATCTTCAGACCTGTGTGCTGAAAGCTCCATCTCACCACAGTAGGCTTCTGAGCAAATTCTATAGCCCACTCTGGGCCTCATGCCTGGCAGCCCCTCACCACTTGTCATTGTGTGTGTCAACAGGACACCCTCAGAAGGTAGGGAAGGAAACAATAGGCCAGTTTGGGCCCCCAACCCTGTTTATTTCTCTGTCTTAACACAGTGGGTTCAGATCCCGAGTTTGCGCGCTATGTGGCAGGAGTGAGCCAAGCAATGCAGCAGAAACGGCAAGTCCAACATGGTCGCCGCCCAGGCAATCCCCGGGGCCACTGGCCACCCATGGATGATGCCCATCGGACCTGGCCTTTCCCAGAGTTCTTTGCAGAAGGGTGAGTGCTGGGTGTGGGCGGGAAGTTGAGTTTGGGGTCTGGGTGTTCTGCAGGGGACCTTGGTATACTCTTACCAGGCCATTCATTTGTAGGCCCCCTTGTGAGAAAATGGCACATGGTCAGATCTTAGGAGTCAGAGTTTCGTGACTGACTATAGGATGCCAAGTAGCATGTGGTGTCCCTGTGCATTCACCATTGGTATGAATTGATGATTTCTGAGACAGGCTTTTCTGCCCTGGACAAAGATCTTATTTGGTGGTGTTTGGGACATAATTAATTGTCTAACACAGTCTTTAGCTGAAATGAGTATGGTGATGAAACCTGTGTCATTTATGGAATGTGATCCTTGTAGCCTACAAAAAAAAAAGCAAAGGTGTACAGTTCAGATTCTGATGTATTGAGAGAACTGTGGATTTTCATCATAAAGACCTTTGGGGGAGTGATTTTTTTTTTTTAACACCTCTTATTGCTCCCTGATTAATAACTCTGCACAGCTAAAGACCATCTCAGCTTTTTGTTTTCTCAAACATGAATTGCATGTATACACCACAGCTTCTGAGACATTTTTAGAGGAAGGAGAGGGACAAGGGACCACTGTTGGGTTGTGAGATAAGAGCAGGGGAAAGAATGTTCCCTTAGGGCTGGGGTGGGGGTGGGGGTGGGCCTGGCCTCAGGCTGTCCAGCTGGGGTCCAGGCTGGCTGCCTGAGGCCTGGGACCAGCTTCTCTCTTTGGCTTTCAGGGATGGCCTGCACAGCGGCTGGGCAGGGGCTCAGGGAGACTCAGCCAGCTCGAGTGATGAGACATCCTCTGCCAACGGGGACAGCTTGTTCTCCATGTTTTCAGGGCCTGACCTCGTTGCTGCTGTCAAGCAGAGAAGGTATGAAGAAATCTTTAAAACAAAGAACAGAGGGGTGCATGAATGTGATCCATAGCTTATTCCTCTACAAAGCTCAGTAGCTCCATTGCTTCTAGGTACCCACATTGAGAGAGGCAGAGGACCTCTTCCAGTACTGTCTTGCTGAAGCTTGGGTGGTGATGTAAAGTTGGGTTGAGTTTTTACTGGGAGAACAGTCTCATGCTCGTGGTAGCCCAAAATACCTGTAGACAGGCTAGGGAGTATTATGGAGAACAGGGTCTGCTGAGGCTGGTCTGCGCATTATAGGGGACAGCCCTTTCCATGGGAGCAGCAGGACCAGGACAAAAATTCTGATCAACTCACCAACAGGCTTTGCAACTCCAAACGTGGGTCTGGCCCTCTCTTACTCTCAGTTTCTTCATCAAAAGTGGAACTGGATAAAAGTAGCCTCTGAATGTCATTTCAAAGCTGAAAAAAAACAGGTGTAGAGTATATTCGGAGCTAAAGTTTTCAAGTGAGTGTTAGTTGCTCAGTCGTGTCCAACTGTTTGTGATCCCATGGACTGAAGCTCTCCAGGCTCTTCTGTCCATGGAATTCTCCAGGCAAGAATACTGGAGTGGGTTGCCATTCCCTTCTCCAGGGGATCTTCCTGGCCCAGGGATCAAGCCCGGTTCTCCTGCATTGCAGGCAGATTCTCTACCATCTGAGCCATGAAAGGCATTATATGTTTTCAAAAGTAGTCACAAAAATGAAAACAGATCCTGAAGTAAGATAAGAATTTGTTTAGAAAGAAATGGAGAGACTGTTGTGGGTGTGAGGAAGCAGAGACCTGCCCAGTCCCAAGGACATGAGCAGGAATAGAAAGCACGTGGGGTCGCCTGGGTGTCAGAAGTCACACCCTCATGTGATAGGACCAGGGACCATCAGATAAGCGTGGGGAGCAGGTAGGTGAAGATGGAAGGGCACCTGAGTCACGCAGACTAGGATGCACAGAGGAGTCACTGTGGTGATGGCAGTGGTTGCTGATCCAGGCTGGGGTGCATTCTCATGCCAGGCCCTGGGCTTGGCATTCACGTACATTTCCTCACTTCTCACAAACACTGTGTTTGTTTACTAGGGCTATCATATCAAAGAACAACAGACTAGGGAATTATTTAACAGCAAGGATTTTTCTCCTAGTTCTGGAGGCCAGAAGTCTGAGCTCAAGGTGTCAGCAACGTTGCTTACTTCTGAGGCCTCTCTCCTTGTCTTGCAGCTGGCCCTCTTTCCCCTGTGTCTTACATGGTCTTCCCTCTGTACCTATGTCCTAATCTTCTTTTCTTATAAGGACACCAGTCATGTTGGATTGGAGCCCACCCTAATGACTTCACTTTAACTTAGTTGTTTAAACAACTTATCTCTAAATGCAGTCACACTCTGAGGTACTGGGAGTTGGGGCTTTGACATATGAATTTGGGTGGGGGAGGGACACCTTCATTTGTTCAGTAGCTCCTGTCATGTACCAGGCACTGGTGGTAGAGCAGCAAGCAAATCAAAGTCCCCTTCTTCATGAAACTGATATTCTACTGAAGGAAGGCTGATAAAAAAAATCCAATATGTTGGTTTGGATTAGGTTCTATAAAGAAAAATAAAGCAGGGTATGAAGGCAGAGAATGCAGGGGACAGCTGGATTTCCTGTGTTCCAAATGAGAGTCAGGGAGGCTTCTCATGAGCAGAAAGCTGAACAAAATGATGGAGGAAGTGGCAGTGGGGTATGTGGGAGAGAGAAGAATCAAGGGTGAGATGCAGGTTTTTGGCCTGAGCATCTGTGTGAAAGGGGGGTGTCATGGACCCTGATGTGGAGGACTGCAGGAGGAGTGGGACTGAGCCTTGAGGAGAAGTGAAGACTGGAAATTAGAGAGGCTGGCTAGAGGTCCAGCTAGTCACCATCTCAGCTCATGCCTGCTGCCCCCCACCCCCAGCCCAGCCCTGTCGTGGCCTCCGGAAGGGCACCACACCATGATGGCCCACCTTTGCCCACTGCATGCAGCGGGCCCAGGGCCTCCCCACCTAGAACCAGTGCCTAGAGACCCACACCAAGCAGCTAGGTGTGCCCTGGAGGGAAGCCGGGTGGCCGGCAGGCAGCCACGGCACTGAGCTCTGGGTTCTTTCAGGAAGCACAGCAGCGGTGAGCAGGAGACCAGCACGCTGCCCTCACCGCCCCTTCTCACCGCAGTGGAGGATGTGAACCAGGTATGTGGGCCCCGCTCTGGCCACAGAGGGCTGGCTTCATGGGTACAGACCATGGGCAAGGTTCTAAACCCTTAAGTTTTAAGAGTTGTGTGGGGTTTTTTGTGGTGAACAACTCTCTCCCTATGGTTTTTGTCTAAATGATCAGCCATCTCAGCAGACTCAAGAGCCATGTGCAGAGGGAGTTCTGGGGCTGTGCTGTCCAGTATGATGGCTGTCAGCCCATGTGGCTACTTAAGTTGAAATTACTTAAGTGTGAAGATTGAGCTCCTCAGTTGCACCCGCCATGTGCAGTGAGCAGCCGCTGTGCTGGATGGCGTGGACAGAGTATGTCTGTGGTCGCACGCTCTGCTGGACGTGCTGCTCCAGGGCTGTGGGGAGGGCTGAGGCTTGCACCCTGTTTCCTCAGTGGGAATGAGGACTGGAGACCGGGGGAGGTGGGAAAGGAGGATGAATTGCCAGAAATGCCACTAAGCACCCTCTTTTGTCTCTCAGGATAACAAAACCAAAACGTGGCCACCCAAAGCCCCCTGGCAGCACCCTTCTCCGCTGCCCAGTACCCTGCCTGGCCCAAGTGCACCACTCTATGCAGTCGCCAGCCCCGGCAGCCAGTGGAGCGACACCATGCAGATGCTGCAGTCCCCGGTGTGGGCCGCCACCAGTGACTGCAGTGCTGCCTCCTTCACCTACGTGCAGCCCCCGCCGCAGCCCCCGCCCCCACCAGCACACAAGGCAGCCCCCAAGGGCTTCAAGGCCTTCCCTGGGAAGGCTGAGCGCAGACCAGCCTACTTGCCCCAGTACTGACCCCGGGCCTGCCTGCCTGCCCGCCCAGAGCTTTTGGGGACAGGGGCCCCAGCCCAGGGCTGACTGGCTGGCAACAGCCCCCCAGAGGACCAGTGCACCCCTGTCCCAGGCAGGGATCCTTGGGGATGGAGGTGGTTGGCAGCTCCAAGCCTTTAAGGCCTGGCTTCTCAAAACTCTGGAGGCATCAGACACCTGGAGGGCCAGATGAAGATGGAATTTTCTGACCCTCCTCAGGGAGGTGCTGGGGGATCTTCGAGTTTAATAAGCACCTCTGGTGATTCTGATGCAGGTGGGCCACTGGCCACACTTTGAGAAACACAGCTCTCAAGTTTGTAGACCCCACTGTGTGTGCTGGGAAGGCGTTGGGGCTGAAGGCTGAGAGCAAAACTGACCATTCTTCTGAAACCTTCCCTTTCCCTCCTTAACACGTTGAGTGATGACCACACCAATCACTGTATTTTATAGCTATTTTTCATATAGGTTTTTAGTTAAAATATCTCCTGCCTAAAATGCATTGAATATTAAGATAACAAATAGAGTGGCTGGAGGTTTTTCAACACTATATTTAAGCTTCTACGAACTGGGCAAAGGACAGCATATTTGTGATGAGAAGCAATCACCTGGGTTTTCTGTAGATGGACAGCCCCTCGCCACCCCCAGCAGCACCCAAGGGGTGTGACCTTCACCGGATTTACAAAAGCAGGATCATAGCCCTGATGGTGCGTGGAGATGAGCCTGCTGGCTGCTGTCCGTATGCGGGATACAGCTACACCTTCTGCCCTCATATCTTTCCACACACGGCCAGAGGCTTAGATACCGTTTCGGAGCGTGAGGGTGTAGTCAGGGGGGCTGCAGAGAGACACTTGAAATTGCAGTAACATTGTGAGCTGGCTCAAGACAAACCAATTAAGATGTAGATAGGTATTAATTTAAAAGTTTTTCTTTAAAGAAAAAAATAAACCACCTCATTTTCAGTTAACATGTGCTGTTAAATAGATAACATCCTGTGGATTTAGGGATATTTTTCCAGCCAGAATGGATCCAGAAGAATTGAATGGTGCTTAAATTGAGAAATAATAAATATATCTATATAGACTAGACATATCCCACTGTATATTAATTGAGGTTACAGAAGTTCTTTATATAAAACTTATTTAAATTTTTCATATTTCATCTTTGAAAAAGTCTAATTGAGAAAAATCCATAATATTTTCTGGTATGAAAGTTTGACAGTATTAATATTTTTTTTTTATATTTTCTTAAATCATTAAACCATTTTAATATATGTTAACTACTAATAAATGGTTTATTCTTTCTAACTCCATATAAGCTTTTCCAGCAAAGATTGTAATAACAGTTATGTTCTCATTTTTCTATGAATATAGGTAAATTTATATTTAAAAATACCAAAAAGAATATATATATATATGTATGTAGACACACTAATTATAGAGGACCCTTAGGGTGTCTGAGCCCAGCCGTCTGAATCTTTAGTACTGTGGTGCCAGGCTGTCTCCAGGCCTCGGGTGTTGTCTTCTGTGCTGAGTGGGGATGTCAGTGCTGCCTGTAGTCACGATCCTTTCACCGTGGGTTCTGAACATTCACCTCACCATGTTTACAGAGAACTATTTTGTACATAGACTTTTCAGGCACGTGCTTTGCACCAACCCTGCGTGGCTCTTGTCCGTGTTAGCCGTCACAGTGTGTGCACTAATGTCTGTTGAAGTTGTCTGTGGCTGTTTACTTGTAAGATAGTTTTCTTCTCTCCTTCAGTAATGTGTCTCCAGTACCCCGTGTTTCGAGTTCTATTATACTGAAGTACCCTTGTTTTAATAGTGCCTCCCCAAAGACCTCACCCTGGACAGAGGTCAGTCCTTTATGCTCCAGCGCAGGTGACATCAACATTGCTAACTGTCACTTTCCAGTCTGTTTTTCTCGATTAAGGAAGACATTTTGTAATTGCGTCTCCATGGGCTGTGAGACTGTGTGAAGCTGTTTGTGTAGTCTCCTTGTGGGTGCTGTGTTCTCAGCACCGCCTTGCTCTGAACACTGGTAATTCCAGGTGCTGCGCTCGGCAGAGGGGTCTCGCCAAAGCGCATGTGTGTGCGTGTGTGAGTGTGTGTGTCCTTTGTGTGGCCAGGCTTGGCTGCCTTGCTCGTGTGACTAGTTACAATGCTTCCAAACTGGAACTCTACATTTTGTATCTTACTTTTAAAGCTCCTATAAGTAAAATAACTATTGGCTTTATTAAAATATACCTTTAATAATTTTTGGATCTCTGTGTAAAATGAACTGCAGCAGATAATCATGTCAGAAGCCCTGTCTGATTCATTACTTTGAAAAGCTGCACACGAATAGGTTTTTAGGTCAGCCTGTCCTCTGACTCTGAGCCCTTGCAAGGGTAATACCTCTGGGGGTATTAGGATAAGCTGGGGCATAGGGGGCGGTGCTGGGGTACAGAAAGTGGGACAGCCTACCACATCTCTCCTGTTGGCTTCCCTGAGGCTAAACCTGGAAGAGCCTCTCTGGTCAGAGCCACTGTTGTGGTGAAGGAGGCCACCTGAAGAATGCGGACTTTTCTTGGGTTGTGGTCTGCCAACACACATTCCACCAAGTGTGGGCACTTGTAGGCTGCCCAGCCAGCCTTTCCAAAAGGCAGACCCAAGGATGGGCTCTCCCCTCACTCTGTCAGAGACCCACCATGTGGCAGGCCCTCCCTCATAGGTACAAGAAGGACTAGTCGCACTGGATGGTGCCATTCTGCTGTGGAGAAGGAAAGATTGTAAAGTGGGAACCAAAAGGAGGGGGAGTTACAGGGGAGTTTGAACTCATTTTCACTTACAGCAAGACAGCATTTGATGGAAACTTTTTCCATGAACTTAAGAAAATGGAGTAAATGAGTATAAATATATAACCTACCAGTACACAAGTACCACTCTGGCTTCTTTCTGCTGAGACTTCCAGAAGCTGAGCATGGGGACATTAAATACACCTCAGGACAAGGTTACTTAGTAACAGCCATGTTGTATGAGTATTGCTAAGGAAGACACTGAAAATTCATATTAAAATGCTAGCCAGAACATTTTATAAATGTTAAACATTTATAACAAAAGGTAAACATTTTATAGTGTTTAAAATGGGAGCACATTTTATTCATACGTGTTCCCATTTAACATCAGTACCCAGTGCTGTTCTCCAGACAAGAACACTGGAATGGGGTTGCTGTGCCCCCCTCCAGGGGATCTTCCTGACCCAGGGATTGAATTTGCGTCTCTTACATCTCCTGCATTGGCAGGCGGGTTTTTTACCACTAGCACCACCTGGGAAGCCCATATTCTTGCCTGGAGAATCCCATAGACAGAGGAGCCTGGAGGGCTTCAGAGGGTCTCAAAGTGTCAGCCACAACTGAAGTGACTTAGCACCCACACACGCACCCATGCACATGGTCCTGTTCACTGACTTCTAATTGACAACAGTGGTGGAGACAGGAGTCCTGTAAACCCAGCTCTGTCCTGAGTGGGTGGGGATGGAAGCACACAGATGTTCACCAGAGCCTCAAGAAGGTCCCTGGGGACTTTGGCTCAGCTGAGAAATGGAGGAGGACACACAGGCAGGTCCTTATGAGGCTGGTGACCCTTCTTTTCCATCAGGTTCCTGGGAGAGTGGGCATCCAGCTCTGGGAGTGTAGCTGAAACTATGCATCCCAGCCATGGTGCTGGGAAAGGACAGCCCACTGCGTGACCCCTCTCGTGATCTGCTTCCTGATGCGGAGACAAGAAATAAACCCTGCCAAAGGTCAGCTCCTTGATTCCCAAAAAGACATGTATGTGGACAAGTGAGTGTCAGGGTCTCAACCACATGTGCCTGGGAGTCTGAGGAACCTCTGGGGCCAGGCTCTTGGAAGTAACACAAACAGATGGCCTTAGGATCCACAGGGGTTGGCTGGCTGGGCCCAGGCCTCTGCTTGTCTATGAGGGGGACTGTATTTGGGCCTAGGTGAGGAGGAAGGATTGTTTCACGAGTGTCATATTCATTTCAACATTTCCTATTGTCAGGCTTCTGGCTAGTATAGGAGCCAGGCTGCATATAAAATGAAGTCTCTGCCCATAAACTCAGTGTTTTAGGGAAGACAACTCCCTCTTTCCCATTCTTGGTAAGAGATACATATTCAAGCACTCAATGCTCAGGCAGAAATCCTGGAAGACACTTTTGATGTTTATTCTCCTCTTTCACTTAATTAGCAACTCCTACAGGTGCTACTGTGGTCTTCCCTGGTAGTTCAGCTGGTAAAGAATTCTCCTGCAATGCAGGAGACTCCAGTTTGATTCCTGGGTCGGGAAATTCCCTGGAAAGGGATGTGCTACCCACTCCAGTATTCTCAGGCTTCCCTGGTGGCTTAGACGTAAAGAATCCGCCTGCAATGCAGGGGACTCCGCTTCAATTCCTGGATAGGGCAGATTCCCCTGGAAGAGGGCATGGCAACCCACTCCAATATTCTTGCCTGGAGAATTCCACGGACAGAGGAGCCTGGAGGACTACAGTCTATAGGGTTACAAAGAGTCGGCCACGACTGAGCGACTAAGCACAGCACAGCACAAGTGCTTCTGCAAGCATATTTCAATTCCACCAAGTTCTTACATCTCCACTGCCATCAACCTGGTCCTCCCTATCTCCTGCCTTTCCTTCTGAGGCCTAACGTCTCCTGTACACCCCTGCTACCTCGATGAAGCCTACCCATAGTGCCCACGTGCCTGGGCCTTTCCATCAGTTTCTGCGCGGCCAGAGCTCAGCCTCTACCCGGCCTTGTTTAGTACTCCGCTATAATGTGTGTTTGCGCATGTCCCTCTCACCAGAATCAAAGCCTCAGTAGAGCAAGGAGCAAGTCTTGTTCATGGCCACAAGCGCAGGGTGCAGAACAGCGCGAAGCAACTCGATAATACACACGAAATGAGGTGCTGCTAAGGCCAGAGGCAAATTCTAATACAAAACCAAAACACAGAGCTAGACTTGAATCGGTTTTCACATCGGGCTAAAAGAATACGCAATGACCAGGGTTTGTACTAGAGCCGCAAGGAAGGGCTGTTTAGCTTTTTACTAAGTACAGAGTTTTCTCTTAGGGTGAAAACCCACGCCCATGTGCGGGGGGGAAATTTTTTTTTAAAGACGTAACTGGATTTACAAGGAAAATCTGGCGACATTCCGAAGCGACACAACTCAAGTGAACAGGCGATCAACGCGAGCACGTAACACGAGCTCTGAGACTCCCGGCAGTGCTGACTCCGCCATCCGGGTTTCTCTTAGCCTGCGCACGCGCAGTCTGCCCCGACCCGGAGTCTGCGCACTTTCGCGCATATGTCCATCCCAGACGTGCGGGCAGAAGCGTCTGCAAGTTCACCGGTCAGGAGCCGGCGCCTGTCAGAGCGCGGGGACATGCGCACACGTGCACCCCCGGACGTGCGCGCCCACACGCAGACGCGTGCGCTCCCTGCCCGCTCGCTACTTACGCTGGTCCCGCCTTCCCTGTGCTTAGACGCGTGCGCACCGCGCCTCTGGAGAGCGTGGCGGGTGCCGGGGGGATTCTCAGAGTTCCGGAGAACCGCTACTCCTCGCCCTTTCCAGGTCACCGTGACTCAGCATCCTCGGTGGGTGCGCCTCCTCGGAGCAGCTCGCGAAAATCCATCGGCGTGTATAGCCCCACAGCCGACCGCCTTCAAACTCGATCCCCAGAACTGCTGCTACCCTTTGCCCTTGTCCTGGTGATCCGGTCTCCATGCCCTGCCTGACTCCTGTCCAACGGCCCTGAATTGAGGCCTGACTTAGGTCCACCCTTTAATCCACCCCCCTCTCTCGGTTCCTAGCATTTTGCCGAGGGCACTTGAAGGTGCCTGGCACTGGAGCGGTCTATTGAACTTTGAGAGCCAGGTTTTCTTTGGATGGTGGTTGTCAGCCCCGGGTCTGGATGCATAGAACCCTCTGAGAGAGCCACTTCTGAACACTGGTACTGTGCGGTTTGCAGACAGGGCTTGGCTCAGCATGTGGAGCCGATTGTGGGGATGGTGGTAGAAAACAGGTTTAACTTTTGCCAGTATATGGGTTAGTCACTAAGTCGTGTCCGACTCTTACCCCATGGGCTGTAGTCCACCAGGCTCCTCTGTCCATAGGATTCTGCAGGCAAGAATACTGGAGTGGGTTGCTATTTCCTTCTCCAGGGGATCTTCCCGACCCAGGAATCAAACCCAGGTCTCTTGCATTGCAGGCAGATTCTTTGCCAACTGAGTTATGAGGGAAGCCACTTTATCATTATAAATATAAAATTACCTTAATATTTTTCTAAACTGCAGACCTCATCCCACTCCCCAAGGTTTGATTAGAGAGGCTACCTCCACACCCCAGTGTCTGATTGCCACCCCCGCACCCCCCCCCCCCCAGCCCCGCTGCTCCTTTCCTGGTAAGAACCTCTCTGCTGCCCTACTCAGGGGCTCGGATCCAGCCCAAGGGGAGCAGTGTTGATCCAGTGGTTGTATTCTCCTACCTCTCTGCCTTTGCCTATGCTGCTGTCCTTGCCTTTGGAAATGTCATTCTTGGCCATTTCCACTTGTAAAATTCTACCCTGTCAGATTTAAAGGCTTAATTGATGTTCATATAGAAGGGTGGCAAGGGAGGGGTGATGGAGAGGGCCTGAAAGAATTGCCTGCTCCTCCTCGTTCCCTGTACCCTTTTCCCAAGGCTGAAGAGGCAGGAAGTGGCCCAGGACAGGACCAGGGCAGGGTTGTGATTAAGAACAGGGTTCAAGACTGGGGCAACCTTGAACTGATTCTCTTCTTAGTTTAGCAGAATGGCTATTTTCAGATTTCTTAGCTTGTCTGTTATGTGGAGAGGATAATGGGATATCCCTCATGGGGTGCTATGAGGGTTATGTGGCAGAGAATTTAGCAAAGAGCTCCTCTGCATGCAGTAAACTAGCAGGAGTAGGAAAGTAACCATACTTTCCTGCTAATATAGAAAATCCACATAACTGGAATTTCGACATACAATGTTAAAATATTATGGGGAGATCTGAGAATTGGTGGGAAATCGGGAATAATTGAAGCTGCTGGGAATCACAGAGGCCAAACTGCTGGAGGTGTACACTAGAGAATGTTAAAAAGATGATGAAACCTTTAAAAAGGTAATCATTGGAGGCCTTGCCTCCTTCATCTTTAGGACCTAAGCTGCTCCTGTGGGTTTCAGGTAGATGAAAGTAGACATTGGGGAAGATAGTGTGGCAGGGGGCAGGTGAACACCTATAAAATCTTTGGAAAAATTGGGAGTTGTAAATGACAGCTTAGCTTAGAACAACATCAAGATGAGGGGAAATCAGTGGTTCGTGCTGCAGCTGCAGACCGAGTTGGCCTGGCCCCATGAACTTGGGTGATGGGATTCACTCTGCCATCTCTCTGGAGGTTGTTCTCTTCATGGTCTGTTCTTTCTGACAGGCAGCTTAACACTACAAAAAAACTTGAGTTTTTCCTACTGGCTTTGGGTCCCTGTTTGGCTGTCTTGGGCTTCCCTGGTGGCTCAGATGGTAAAGAATCTGCCTGCAATGTGGGAGACCCAGGTTCAATCCCTGGGTTAAGAAGATCACCTGGAGAAGGGAATGGCTACCCACTCCAGTATTCTTGCCTGCAGAATTCCATGGACAGAGGAGCCTGGTGGGCTACAGTCACAGAATTGCAGACAACCAGACACAACTGAGTGACTTTCACTTCTGACTACTTAGGTCATGTGTTCATCTCTGGCTTAAGTCATATATTCATCTCTGATTCAGTCAAGGAGGCAGAGGAAGAAACCCAAGGGTGAGAGGTAGTGGCTCTGGATCAAGACAACAGATAAACAGGCGTCTACTGTGATCATTGAAAAGAGCCTGCTTGAGAAGAAGGGAGGCAGTGGCTCCTACTGTCGAGAGTCATCAAAGGAATCATAGAGCAAGTGGATGTTATAGGTAATAGCTACTGAGACTGGCCTTCCTGTTGGATGGAGTTCTGTTCTGAAACACAGGATTGAGGGTTGAGAGTGCTGTTCTGTGCAGGTAGCTGCTTGGATGGGAACTCTGTGATTGGAGGGTTTCTCAGAAACTAGTGGAACAGATGGTGTTTAGCACTGTCAGGGTTCTGCTGGATATGGGAAGCCCATTTAAACCTCAGAGTTGACAGATGACCCAAAACTCTGAACAGGTAAGGGCCATGTGGCAGGGCTGTTCCCTGCAAAGTCCTGTGACCATCTCTTCAATCTCTGACCCCTCTCTCTTCCTTCTTTATCTTTAGGAACTCAAATAATTCTGGGCAGAGAAAGAAAGGCCAGAAGTGGCAGTGACAGCACGGTATTGGGAGGTAGGTCAGAGGAAGAGCTAAGCCTAGGACTGCAGCAGGACATGGCACACTCCTGGATGGATGGCATTTCTGGGGGAACTGGGTGATGGAGAAGCTCAATTTGAGTACACAGTCCTTGGACCTCTTCTCTCTGACTACATTGACTCTGTCTTACCCACACTCTCCTCTAGGCTCATGACTTCAAATGCTATCTATTCACTCATGACTCCCAAGTTTTTCCTCTTGCCTGAACCATCCCTCCTCATTCTCCAGACATGAATACCCAACACCTCCACTTAGATGTCTGATAGGTTTTGAAAACTTGTCAAAAACAAGATTATGATCTTCCCCCTAAAACTGGCATTTCCCCAAGATGCAATGGCAATTCCATTTTTCCAGGAATTTGGGTAAAAAACCAGATGTTACCATTGACTCTTCTTTTTCTTTCTCTTTAATTCTTCACTCCATATATATATAGATCACCAGGCCCAACTCCTCCTACCTTGACACCTTCGTTCCTGGTCTGCATTCTTGCTGTAGCATCCTATCTGTTGTCCTTACTTTCATGCCTACTGAATTGTTGGTCTGATCCTTTGGTATGTCCCCCCTTTGTTTAAACCTTTCAGTGGTTTCCCATCTCTGTGGGAATAAAACTCAAAGTTCTCACAATAACTTCTTGCTTTCCTTCCCTCTCTGACCTCATCCTCTATCACTCTCCCCTCCTTCACTCCGCTTCAGCCACACTCGCCTCTTGCTGTTGCTAAAATATCAGCGTGCTTTCCTTAGGAATTTTGCAGCTCCTCTTCCCTTTGCCTGAACACTTCTCCCCCAGATTTCCAAGTGGCTAGCTTTCTCACCTTCTTCAGGCTTTTGCTGAAATGTCACCTCCTTAGTGAGTTTTGCCTTGAACATTCTATTCAGAATTGCATCTTCTATTCCCAGCACCCTTTTCAATTTCCCTTTTCTCAGTAGCACTTACCAGCATCTGATAAGCCATATATTTTACTTCTCACCTAAGCGTCCCGAACACCTGGAACACTACCTGTAACACAGAAGGTTCTGGAGGGAGTTGTGTCAAGTGAATGAATGAATGAACGAATAAACTAATGAAGCAGGCAGAAGCTCGGCCTCTGTTCCCCAATCAATTCCAGGCAGAGGCTGGCAGAGTAGCAGCAGTCCAAATGGCTGCCAGATAGCAAGGAGAGAAGAGCTGAGGCTCCGGATCCTTGGCTGTGGGCTTGGTTGCCCCCGGGGCGCGGACGGAGGAGCGGGGCGGGGCGGGGGCGGGGCGGGGCCGGGCGCCTGCGCCATAAAGCTCGCTGCGCTCCGGGGCCCTCCGCCTGCTGTGCGCCGCTCTCCACGCTTCCTACTCTGCGCTCGCCCAGGTCCGTGTTCCCAGCCACTCACGCCATGGCCGCGCTCACCCAGGACCCGCAGTTCAAGAAACTGAAGACGTGGTACGAGCAGCACGGCTCTGACCTCAACTTGCGCCGCCTTTTCGAAGGGGACAGGGACCGCTTTAACCGCTTCAGGTGCGTGCGCGGGACGGGAACGGGGGCGCGGACGTGCCGCACCGGGATGCGGCTCGCAGGCCCGTGAGGTGCAGGGCCGGGGCCCAGAGGGCGGGGCGGCGGTCCCCCGGGGGTGGGCGGCCAGGGATCCGGGCCCGCCCAGGCCGCACTTCGTCCTTGACGCCTCCTTGAAGCAGGTTTCCGGGTGCTCGCCGGAGGTCTCGGGGCCCCGGCAGCTTCGTCTGGAGGAGTGCTCCGCTCCCGGCTTCCCCTCCAGGGGGACATCTCTCTTCCCTCCCCTATCCCCCCATCAGTCCCGGCCGGCAGAAGCAGCCCATCGTTCCGCGGTTGTGAGCAAGGGCCCTCGCTGACGCAGCAGGCACGGAAGGGTTGCTCTCCACTTCATGCGGTCCTGGCTTAGAATGGACCATCTGTGGGGTGTGGTTAAGGGTGGGACAGGCCCGCGGGATTTGCGGGGAGCCGCGGTGGAAGGCTGGAGAGGTGGGGCTGTGATTCCTCCCCTGGAGGCTAGATCCGGAGACCCGTGAACGAGAGGTAAAAGAGGAAATCTTGGGGGTTGGGAATGGCCAACCCATTGGTGCAGGTATTGGGCAGGGGAAATCTGTGGCGCCAGATTTGAGGTCCCTGATGGCCAGCCCTGCCCTCTGGAGCCTTCTTCCCTGAGAAGGTTGGGTCTCAGGAGCCCTCTGTCTCCCCATCCCCCAGCTCAGTTTTCGCGAAGGAAGAGCCCCTCACCCAGTGTCTTGCACTGTGCTGCTCCTGCTGCAGGTCAGCTGGGTGGGCGGGCAGGTGACAGAGGACACCACTGTGCTGGCCAGCTGAGGCTTGTTTGGATTTGGCACAGGGAGGATGTTTTTTCTGGAAGCATCTCGTCGGGTAGCAGTCTGGGGTGTGGTGGGCAGCTTCTGGTATCTTTCTGCAGCTTGAACCTCAACACCAACCATGGGCATATTCTGGTGGACTACTCCAAGAACCTGGTGACGGAGACTGTGATGCAGATGCTGGTGGACCTGGTAATGTTCTGCTTCGGAGGGCTTGACCGGTGACCCATGATGTGGCAGGCGAGCAGGGCTTCCTGGCGCCCCCAGATCCCTGAGCATCTTTACTTCCTTCTCTTAGTGGATCTCAGTCACTGCCTGTGTGCCCCTTCCCCTGGCAGAGGTTCTGACGGGCATCCCAGGGGACCCAGTGCCCCGATGTCCGAGCAGACCCTTCCCAGGCAGTGGGGGAGGGTGGCGGGCTGCAGCCATCCGTCAGTCCCACGGGGAGCTGCACCAAGCCTTGTGCTTGGGGGTTGGACTCTTGACGATCGTGGGTGGGACCGCCTCTCAATGTCTTCTCTTCTCAGGCTAAGTCCAGGGGTGTGGAGGCTGCCCGGGAGCGCATGTTTACCGGTGAGAAGATCAACTTCACTGAGGTGAGCTGGTCGGTGGACAGCAGTCTCTGCACAGCCTCCACAGCCTCTTGGTTCCCTTTGGGGTGCATCTGGCTGTTTGCAGCATTGCCTTGTGTCATGCTCCTCCTCTTAAGCAATGGTTTTGCTTAACGAGGGACCTGAAGGTCTGTTTCCTCAAGCAAGTTGCAGGGTTTGGGGTGTGTCTTCCCCAAGCCTGCAGTCTAGGTCTGGTGAGCCTGGATGGCTTCCGGTGTCTGTGTCTGCCTGGGGACCGCAGCTCTCAAGCCTGCAGGGAGAGGTCTTCTCAAGACATGGTCAGAGAAATGAACTCTGATCTGTTCTTGCTGCAAGTTTCATTAGTTAGTGAAAACCAGACCCTTGTCAAAATCAGTCTCATTGGGCGGAGTCAGCAGGAAGCTATGGCAGGGCCAGGTCTGGGCCACGCTGTTCCTGAATCGCTGTGGAAGCCTTGGAGGCATAAGAATCACTGAGCACTCAGAGTGTCATCCTCATAATGTTCTTAGTCTCCTTTTACATACGGGGAACCTGAAACTCAGAGATCAAGTCACTTATCTAATGTCATTCTCTTTAAGTGGCAGAGTCAGGATTCAAACACATTCTGTCTTTCACTGCTGGGCAGTCTGAGGGAGGCTGCAATGAAGGAGGGCTTCCTGGAGGGGTCATTTCATTGCCTACAGAACATGGCTCAGAAGTGAGGCTGGACAAGGTGAAGGTAGTGTGGCATGAAGCCCTCCACCTTAGCGAGCCTCTCCCTGGGTTGGAGTCCTAAGATCATCCCTTCCTGTCCCTCCAGAGTCTCAGATGTGTTTCTTTCAAGGGCTGTGCTGCCCGAAGCTCGATGGGACTGTTGTTCTCAACTTGATAAGGCCAGCTGCTTGGCGCCTATCACAGACTTAGGATCTGTTTTGGTTTCCGGTGGTGGGTGTGATGAAACCCTTGGTGAGGGAAGGTTGAGTTGCCTGCTTTGCTCCACTTTCAAGGGGCCGGGACACTTTTCAAAAGGTGCCAAAAAGCACCATGAACTTTTTACCAGGAAGATGAGACTGGGCTTCATGAGCATTGGTCCTCTGTAGCCACTTATTGCTTGTAGCTGGCCTGTGTTGCCACCAGCCTGCCTTCGCGCACTCCATTCAGCTTTCCTTGACCTTGCATGCCCTGAACATCCGGGGCTCACTGGGGCCTGTCCTAGGCCCGTTCTGGTCTCTCTCCCCTTGTGACTATCTGCACCACAGAAAGCAAGGGGCAGTTGCCTTGGTCCCCACCTCCCCTGGATCCTGGGGCGGTCCCTACTTCTGTGAACACACCGTGGGTTCTCTGTATGCGTCCAAACACTTAAAGACCTTAGGGCCTGAATGTCCATTGGGTGCAGCTAGGTGTGTGGCTGCAGTGGGCCGAGGGCCTTCACACGCTAACTCTCGCCCCCAGGATCGGGCTGTGCTGCATGTAGCCCTTCGGAACCGCTCAAACACACCCATTTTGGTGGATGGTAAGGATGTGATGCCAGAGGTCAACAGAGTCCTGGAGAAGATGAAGTCTTTCTGTCAGGTATGGGCTGGACTTCCCAGTAGCCATGTGTGTGCTTATATTTGGGAATCTAGGGGTCTGGATGGGCTGCCCTTCCACTCTCCTTGGAGAGGACCCCAGCTCTCAATAACCTGAGGTGGGGGCAGTGGGTGTGATTGCTGGCCATGGGGGGCTCTGCTAAGGCACGGATTCCCCTAACCCTGTTCTCGGGGAACCCACTACTAGCAGCCGTGGAGCAGCATTCTTCCTGAACTGTAACACCTGTGGGCTCACAGTGACAGTCTGGCCAGGACAGAGATCTGAAAAGAAAAGTGAGGCCTCTGGAGGATGGAATAGTCGGGGAAATACTTGCTTTTTGTAACCTCTTAAGTCATAGATCTTTATTTCCTGGCCTAGAACTAGATAGAATTTAAAATTTAGGATTTTCTTGACCACACCCCTGCCAGATTTCCAGAGCAGTCTTTATTTCCTGTTAAGTCTTGCAGAAGTTTCTTGTGCATGCACTAGCTTGTCTGTCGTCTCTTCTTTGAAGCACACACACCCACATGTGTACACACACATGCAGCTTGTCCCTGCTCCAGCATTAATGCACATAACTGTGCTCCTTCTTCTCTGTGGGTGTTGGGGTTGCCTCAGAGACCCACTGGAGAGTTCCCCACATATATTGCCATTGCTCAGTATCTACCCCAGGGATGGTTCTGCAAGAGTTCATGGGTGTCCTCAAGCCTATGGTGCAAGGGTGATGTCTGTGGGCTGGACTGTTTGTGGACCTGTGCATGTCTGTGTGTGTGGATGATATGTGCTCTGGGAGTGATAATCTAAGCTTTGGTCAGCTTTTCCCTGGGAGCAGTGTCCACCACGTGTGGCTGGTCAAAGTCTGGTCACTTTGGGTGAGAGCCATCTTCCAACTGAAATAGAGGGAGGCGATCTGGGCATCCATCCTAGAGGCAAAGGCAGCCAAGTAGGACTTCACATGGTGAGAAAGTCTTGGGATCCTGATTGGAATCTGAGTTCCAGAATGTCCCTTCACAGTGGATGGTGCTGCTGATGGGCTTTGGGTGGAGGGGAGGGCATTTCCCCCCTTCATGGATCACAGCTTTGTCGTGGTCAAGAGGCTTTTGTAACTCAGTGAAGCAATGAGCCATGCTGTGCTGGGCCACCCACGTCAGACGGGTCATAGTGAAGGCAGAAGGAGAAGGAGGCGGCAGAGGGTGAGATGGCTAGATAGCATCACCAACTCAGTGGGCATGAATCTGAGCAAACTCCAGGAGAGAGTGGAAGACAGAGGAGCCTGGCGTGCTGCAGTCTGTGGGGTCACAGCGTGGGACACAATTTAGTGACTGAACAACAACAACAAAGGGTGTTTCCAGCTATCAGGTGTGAGCGCAAGAACTGATAGCTCTGTTTGAAGCTTGGTGCTCTGTTTGGTCAGCCTTGGTGTGCAGAGGCATGCCAGGAGGAGAGTGTGTGGCACTTGTTGTCTGGGAAGCTGTTTCCAGGAGAACCCTCCCTTACAGCTGGCTGCTGAAGTACCTGACTCAGATTGATGGGTATTTATAGTACAAAAAAGCTGCTGAACAGCAGCATTTCCCTGGTGAGGAACACTCCCCAGGGCTGTGCTCTCAAAAGTTCACCAAGATTGGGTGAGAATGTTCACTGTGACCTTGATTGTCATGGCAAAACCTGAAAACAGCCTGCCCTTATTTATCAGAGGACTGACCAGTAAAATCAGTGTATGTTCATATACTGTAGTCCTGGGCACCGTTAGGAATTAGGTACCTACAGCTCCGTTGACCTGCTCTTCTATTCAGGATATACTGTGAAGTCGAAAAGGGAAGTTACAGAACTGGTGGGTTTCATTAGACACCATCTGGTCAAATAAAGGGTATATGTGGTTCTAGTAAAGATACACAAGTTTCCCCTCTTGGAAGCTTTATTATAACAAAACTGATGATGAGATTGAAGGTTGAAAAGCTGAGAGATTTATTTTTCTTTCTGTATTGATGGGAAAGTGCTCATTGCAGTTGATTATTATCTAAAAGAAATAAAGTTACCGTGTCTTACTGGTTTTGGGAAATCCATGTATATTAGTTTCCTATCAGTATGTAACAGATACTTCAGAATTTAGCAGCTGAAAACGACAGTCAACATTTCGGTTGATTGATTCTGGCTCCGGTCTTATAAGGCTGTAGTCAAGGTGTTGGCCCAAGGTCACATTCATCTGAAGGCTTGATGGGGGCTGGAAGACCTTCTCCCAAGATGTTTCACCAGCAGTTGGTGCTGACTTTTGGGATGCTTTAGTTCCTCACCTTGTGAACCTCTCCACAGGCTATTTGAGTGTCCTCATTATATTGAATATTTGCATGGTTACATTCTGACTGCTTGCATACATTTTAGAAACCTCTGAAAGGTGAATATAGTAGTATCTTTTACAGATAGCTTAAAAAAAACAAGCAGGATGTAATGTATAGATATTAGCAGGTCCATAAGTATTTCTGTTCCCTTCTGAAATTTAACGTTGTTTTGCTATAATAAAGAAAAAGTTTAAAAGGAAAAAGGACCATGAAAGTTCTATGAGTGAAAAAAAATAACTCCGCAGTGTTATTTCGTAAGCCTGTTAGTATAGTTTCATACTCCTAGGGGCTTTTGATCAGTGTTCTTGTCTCCAAAAGCATTCTTGAAAAGTATCTGTATTTTATTTACACATACCATGTAGTTGTTTCTTGATGATTATATATTCAGCTTGGGGCTTTAAGCCCCATTTCATCCCAACATGGATGTATGGAAAGCAGCTGCTTTGGGAAGAACAGTGTGAAAGTAAGGTTGAAATGCATGAAGTAAGGTACGGGCATCCCTGTTGGCTCAGTGGTAAAGAATCCATCTGCTAATGCAGAAGACATGGGTTCGATCCTGGGTCAGGAAGATCCTGGAGGAGAAAATGGCATCTGAAATCTACTCCAGTGATCTTGGCAAGAAACCTACTCCAGGAGTCTTGCCTGGGAAATCCCATGAACACAGGAGCCTGGCAGGCTGCAGTCCATAGGATCAAAAAAGTCAGACTAAACAACAACTTAGCGACTATACGACGACATGACCAGGTAGCTGATTTTTCCCAGAGTGACTGATGCAACAGAAAGCAAGGCAGAGTGCCTCAAGGCCTTTTATTACCTTGAGCTAGCATTAGAAGTTTCTCTTTCTTTTCTGTAATACCGTGTTGGTTGTACAGGTGAACTCTGATCAAAGTGGGAAGGGACTGCACAAGATCATGAATGCAGTGCCAGGAGGTGAGGGAACCGTCTTGGATGTTGGTTATCGTAGTCTGCCTTCTGGCTCCCAGTAATTCATCCTGTTCCTTCCACATGCAAAACACCCCATTCTCTTTCTCTTGATGCCGTATCAGATTACAGTATCAGTTAGAAGTCAAGAACTTCATAATCTAAGTTAGGTTCAGATATGTCTGTATTTTTTTTAAACATAACTCAAATGCAATTCCTTTTGACCTGAAGATATGTGAATTAAATAGATTATTTTCCTCACACACACTCAACATACAGTGGTGAGATAGGCATAGGATACCTATATAGGATAATTCCCTTGCAAAAACGGAGGAAAGTGGGAGGCACACAGGAATCATTGATCCAAAGCAGTTCTTTTTTATTTAATTGGAAAATAATTACTTTTCAATTTTGTGATGGCCTCTGCCATATATCAGCATGAATCAGCCATAGGCACACGCGGGTCCCTTCCCTCTTGAACCCCCCACCCACCTCCCTCTCCACCCCATCCCTCCAGGTTGTCACAGAGCACCGGGTCCAGAGCAGTTCTGAAATTCACCAGATGCTTGATTAGGACTCAAGGTGTAGGCATCATTCCTCAAGGCTTTTGGCTTTGCTCTTAGTTATCTTTTTTACATGAAAGGTAGTTTGTGTTTGTAACTGCCTGGTTTTTTCAGTCTGCTCACTGCCTATAGAGATGTGGGTTTTGAGGGGGACTTCCTTGGTGGTCCAATGATTAAGACTCCACACTTCTACTGCAGGGGGCACAGGTTTGATCCCTGGTTGGGGAACTAAGATCCTGCATGCCATGCAGTGTGGCTAAAAAAAAAATTTAAAAGAAACGTGGGCTTTTAAAAATATCATTAGCTGTGCCACACAGTTTGTGGGATCTTAGTTCCCTGACCAGGGATTGAGCCCAGGCCCTGGCAGTGAAAACACCAAGTCCTAACCACTGGACAGCGAAGTTTTTGGAAGCCTTATCTTCAGCTAAAATATTCTCTGTTACCACCTTACTTCTCTCTGAGGTCTTAACAAAAAGTTTTACAGCTACACAATCTGTTTTACCTTTTGAAGTTTTTGTTACAGTACCTTGGATGTGATCTTTGCCACATCCATCTCTTAATTTCAGAATCAATTACTGCCTGGAGAGGCTGGGAATTTTCAGATCCTACAGTTCCTGGCTTCTTTTTGTTGAAAAGTTCTTCATTAAGTTTATTTTTCTCTGCTTGCATTTTACTGTAAGCACTAAGAAGCCAGGCAATTTATGACAGCCTGAAAACTCTGTAGCTAGGTCATCCAGATCATAATAGATCAAAATAGGGATTCTTTTACTTGCCTTGCTTAAAAAATTTATTTATTTATTTATTTTGGCTGCACCGGGTCTTTATTACTACATGTGAGTTTTCTCTGGTTGCAATGAGGGGAGGCTGTCTTGTTGTGGAGCACGGGCTCTAGGTGCTTGGGCTTAGTAGTTGTGGCACACAGGCTTAGTTACCGCACGGCGTGTGGAATCCTCCCTGACCAAGGATTGAACCCAGTGTCCCCTGCATTGGCAGGCAGATTTGTAACTACTGGACTACCAGGGAAGCCCTATTTCACCCTCCCCTGATTAATGCAGGCAGCATTATTAACATGCATGCATGTTACTAAGTTTTTTTTGACTGTATAACAAGGATTTTCTTTCTTGCAATTCCCAATAATGTTTTGCTCCTATTTCTTTAAATCTACATCAGCAACCCCCTCGAGGACTTTTAAACCTCTGCTAACAGTCTCTTCCAGGCTTTTATTAACTCTCCTGAGGGCTCTTTTAGCTTTTATCCATATTTCTAAATTTTTCTTATGGTAATACCCTACTTCTAGTGCCAACATCTGCACTAGTTATTTATTATAGAACAGATTGCACCAAAACTTGATTTAAGATAGCAGTAAATATTTACCATCTCGAAGTTTCTATGGAGGCTTCCCAGGTGGTGCTAGTGGTAAAGAACCTGCCTGCCAGGGTAGGAGACGTAAGAGCCATGGGTTGGATCCCTGCATTGGGAAGATCCCCTGGAGGAGGGCACGGCAACCCACTTCAGTATTCTTGCCTAGAGAATCCCATGGACAGAGGAGCCTGGTGGGCTACAGTCCATAGGGTCACAAAGAGTCTCACACGACTGAAGTAACTTTGCACGCACGCATGCACACACAGTGTCTGTGGGTCAGAAATTCAAGCTTAACTGGTTGGTCTTGGTTTAGGGGGGCGTCTCTCTTGAGGTTGTACTCAAGATATGTTGGCCAGGGCTGCAGTTATCTGAAGGGTTCTGGAGGATTCTTTTCCAAGGTGGTTCCTACTCATGGGTGGTGAGTTGGCTCTGGCTGTTGGAAGAAGGCTGCCATTCCTCACTGCAATGGCTTCTTCACACAACTGAGTCTTATAACGTCGTACATGGTTTCCCCAAAGCGAGGGATCTAAGAGAGCGAGGCAGAAGCTGCATGGTCTTTCATGACCCGGCTTCTGAAGTCCCGCTCCACCACTTTTGCAGTATTCCAGTGGGTTCATAGCCCTATACACCATGGGGGGCTCACTCTGCACCCACGCCTCTAGAGTAGTGTGGCTGAGGAGGCAGGACGCCCTCAGAGCACATGGAGGTTGGCCGCCTGTCTGTCATTCCTGTCCCTGGCATAGACTGGTCACAGTAGTTGGCGTTTCACATCTCTTGGCCTCTGTCATGTTAGGTTCTGCTGAAAGTTCATTCTTGTTTTGCTAATTCTGCTAATGTTGCTGGTTATGAGATGGGGATATCGCCTCTCCCTTGCACCCTTACTCATGATGGACGAGGGTCTAGTTGATGATGAGGGTCTAGTCCCTGCCTGAGTGACAGGAATGTGACACTGTGGTCTCAGTAGGCCTCTCTGAGGGCTGGGAAGTTGGAACTAAAGTGTAAGGATACAGAAGTAATGATGCTTTTGAACAGCAGTTTATACTCAGGGGTTTGGGCTGATGACATCTCCCTGCTCTGTGCCAGCGTGTCCGGAGTGGTGAATGGAAAGGGTACTCGGGCAAGGCCATCACGGACGTCATCAACATCGGCATTGGTGGCTCTGACCTGGTAAGGAGTGGGCTGACTTGGGATAGAGGAGGGGGTCCCATCCAGGGCTTGAGTTTCCCCAGAGATGGGACCTGGCTGTTCTCGCCACTTGGGGAATCTTATTTTCTGATGCTCCATCTCCCCACAGGGACCCCTCATGGTGACTGAAGCCCTCAAGCCGTACTCTGCAGAAGGTCCCCGGGTCTGGTTTGTCTCCAACATTGACGGGACTCATATTGCCAAAACGCTGGCCACCCTGAACCCCGAGTCCTCTCTCTTTATCATTGCCTCCAAGGTACGGGCTTCAGCTCCGGTCTGTCTCCCAGCCCTGTGTGCGTTGGGGTGGGAGCAGGGGTGGGGGGGAGTGGGTGCTTTGCTGCCGCCCTGCACACTGGACCCTCCCGCCTGCTCTGAATGAGTTGTGCTCTGTGGCTCTGGTGGGCACAGGTACCCTCAGACCGTTCCTTACCTGGTGGCCAACACAGTTCACCCGATGAAAGCCACACTGGTCCACGTGTGCCTCCGTCTGAGGCAACACCCGCTCACTTGGCTGAATCTGCTCAGCCCAGGACCATTCCTGTCTCTGTCAGAGATTTGTCCCTAACGTCTGCTCCTTTCTCATCCCAGAGCCAGGCCCAGATAACGTAAGCATTTTGCTTTTTTGTCATTTACACTCTGCTTACTCCGTACACATTAAATATTAAGAATTAATCCCACCTGGATTTTGAGATACAGCCAAGTCTGGGCTGAAGGAACCCCAGGCCACAGCAGCTCTCCTGGCGGATGTTCTAACCTTTGACCCGTGGTTCCTCTGTGAAGTTCTGGAATCACAGGATGACACTGCTGCTTCCAGGCCTCTGCCCCAGAGACACACCGATCGGGGCTTTGTGGACATGTGGGTGGAGGTGATGTGGAGTAACTCACTGACCCGCATGCACTGCTCCTTGTGATAACTGGGCATCCATGTGGCCTTTGCTGCTGAGCTCTGGCTCAGGGCCGTATCAGCTGGGAACCAACTGCTGTACTCTCTGCCTGCAGACCTTCACCACCCAGGAGACCATCACTAACGCAGAGACGGCGAAGGAGTGGTTTCTGCTGTCGGCCAAGGACGTGAGTGCTCATGGGCAGTGGGCAGGCCGGGAAGGACAGAATGGGTCTGCCCAGCCCTGTAGCCGGTTTCCCCTGAAGTTGGCAGCAGGAGGCAGCCTTTCTGGTTAAGATACTCAGCTTTGCCAGCCCAGACAGGCCCCAGGTGCAGACCCTGCTCTAACGGCTGAGGGCCCTTTCTTTAAGGCTACTGGCCCTGCGGAGCCTCTCTACCCCTGGCCCTGCCGAGTTTACAGGGGAGGCACCCTGGGCCTCGTGTGCCTGTGAGGTAGGATGGGCCAGCCCGCCTCTGACCACTCTGCCCACTCTGCCTTGATTTGGGCCTCCTCCAGCAGCCTCAGAACTGAGAACTGGAGGCGGTGGGCCCCATGCAGGGCCTGGGTCTCTCCAGAGGCAGGAGGGTCACTGTCCCTGGGGACGGTCCCCAGGGTGAGTGTGGTCTAACTTGGTTTATCTCTTGCAGCCTTCTGCAGTCGCGAAACACTTTGTTGCCCTGTCCACCAACACTGTAAGTGCCCACAGGGGTTCCTGTACCACCACCCTGGGTTGGGGCCCCGGCCAGGTCAGGGTCATGGCCTTTCCAAGTACATGAGCTGACACCTGCTGACAGCGTCAGGGATCTTGGCTCAGCCAAGAGGGATTGGTTGCCTACGGGGGATGTGAGTTGCAAGCCATACTTGCCACTTCTACAGGCAGACACACTGCTGCTGCTCCATGAGGGGCTTGCAGTCAGTAGGATCACATTAGCCCCACCGGTTTCCCGGGGCCTGACTGATAACCACAACATTCCACACGTGTGACCTCCCTTGGCCTCTGCCACTGGCCTCCTCCCAAACAAGATGTGCCAGGTATGGGTAGGGTGGTTGTTCAGTCACCAAGTCATGGTGGACTCTTGTGACCCCATGGACTGCATCACGCCAGGCTTATTTCTCACATAAGGATGTTCAGTTCAGTTCAGTCACTCAGTCGTGTCTGACTCTTTGCGACCCCATGAATCACAGCACGCCAGGCCTCCCTGTCCATCACCAACTCATGGAGTTTACTCAAACTCATGTCCATCAAGTCGGTGATGCCATCCAGCCATCTCATCCTCTGTCGTCCCCTTTTCCTCCTGCTCCCAATCGCTCCCAGCATCAAGGTCTTTTCCAGTGAGTCAACTCTTCGCATGAGGTGGCCAAAGTATTGGAGTTTCAGCTTCAGCATCAGTCCTTCCAATGAACACCCAGGACTGATCTCCTTTAGGATGGACTGGTTGGATCTCCTTGCAGTCCAAGGGACTCTCAAGAGTCTTTTAAGCCCAATGAAGGGATGTGAGTTTGCCCAGTGATTGCATGAGTCAGTGATGTAAGGATTAGAATGTGGTTACCCATGTGCCAGCTCCTCCTGGCCCCAGGTTGTGCAAGGTAGGGTTGGGGGCAGGCCAGTGGGAGCTGGGGCTTTGCTCCAGGAATCAAAAGGAAGGCAAACCTAGTTGAACACTGGCTGTGTGGTGGGTCTTTTGTTGGGCGGTCTGAGCTGGAACCACACCCAGGTTCTCTGGACTCCCACTCCTTCCATGCCGCCTCCACCCATGCCTCCAGTGCTGACCTGCCTGTGAGAGGAGACAGCAGGACATCTTAGGGCTGGCCAACCACAGCACAGATGTCCACCGCCTGCAGGTAGAGCTGGAGAGTAGGGCGTCTCCTGTGGGGTCTAGGGAGGAGGCTGCTGACCCTGTCATTGTAGAGGATAGAGTAAGATTGGTCATCCCCTGAAGGCTTCCTGGGGTGTAGTCACCAACCCATTATCGGAAGGGCTGGGCAGGTGTCCAGGTTGTCTGTTCCTGGCCTGGGAGGTGGCCCCTGCCTGTGCTCGGGTTGCAGTCCGGGACTCGGTTTCCCAGATGTCCCGGGGATTGGGTCTGGGTGGTGGCTCTTGCAGAGCAGTGTGGGGGCCGGGTCCTCACAGTGAGTGTGCAGCTCCCCTTCAGCAGGAGGGCTTGGCCAGTACCAGGCCACCGGTGTGCTGGGTGTGAGCTGGCCGGACATCTGACTCTGGGGTGGGCGTCTCCTGGTGCTGCCCTGGGCTCACAGGCGGCCCCAGCCCCGCCCCAGTGGGGGCTCTGTGGAAGGTGTGTTGCTCCTGAAGCTTGGACAGCATGACTCCTGATGCCTGCCGCTCCGGTTCTCGTGCAGCTAATACTGGCTTCTTCCTTCTCTCTCCCTTTGCCCCTTTTTAGGCCAAAGTGAAGGAGTTTGGAATTGATCCTCAAAACATGTTCGAGTTCTGGGATGTAAGTAAAGGCACCTGCCTGTGGCGGGTGAATTATGTCCTTGGCTAAGTCAAGCCATAGATGAGGGGCCCATGGAGTCAGGTCAGTGTTTATTGAGCACCTGCTGTATGCCTGGGTATGGGACAGGCCAGGAGGTCCTCAGGGAGCAGAAATAGCTTCGTTCAGTCAGGATATGGCCCCCCCTCCCACGAGGGGGGCTTTCAGGGCCAGAGTGACACTCCCTTGGGTGCCTGCAGTAGCACCCACAGTGGGGTAACCGGAGCCACCCCCATCCCCCTCGGTGAGCCGAGGTTGTGAGTTATTCTCAGTGATGACCTTTTTCTAAACCATAGCCGCAGCCTGTAAAGGCCAAGGGGCAGGGCACGGCAGGAGTGTGACTGGGCAGGCTTGGAAAGGAGCTGCAGGGGCAGCTGGAGGTGGCAGAGAGGAGGTGCCAGGCCTTGGGGCCAGGTGGGGCCCCGCTGGGCATTTTGCAAAGCCAGCACCGCTGGGGGGCAGAGTTGTGGGTCAGTCTAGCCACGGGCGGTCCCACAGGTTCATCTCTGCTGGAGCCACCGTGGGTGCCAAGCAGTGAGCCAGAGTTGTCCCTGCGGCTGGCCCGAGTGCAGCCGTGGTGTAGGTAGGGCTCTGGCAGCAGAATGCAGGCAGGCTTGGGATGCAGGGAGGCAGTGCAGGGAGTGGTGTGGGTGCAGTGGTGTGGCTCTAACACATGACCTTGGCAGGTGTACCTTAGAGAGCGCCCTCTAATCGACGGATTTCCCCCTGGGGCTGATTCCAAGCCTTTATACCGCAAGCTCTCTGCTGAGTGGCAGTATCTGGAGATGTAACCTCCTTTGAAAGCTGTAAAGGCCTTGGAGTCTGGGAGAGAATTAAGCCCTCATACCCTAAGGTGTCTCTTTTGTGTAATGAGTTAACTTCTTTCCAGAATGGGACTAGTTATGTACCATCTTTGGAAGAATTGAGAAGAGTCACTCAGATCCTTGTTTGCGTCGCATGGCTCAGATGAGGAGCCCCGGTCGAGAGAGACTGTGCAGCTACTAAAAAATGCATGCATGCCTGATACAGGAAGGGGGCACCATCCTCCTCCTCCCTGGGATCTTGAAGCCTGAGCAGGTGGTGGTCAGGGCCGTGCGGGGTCTCCCGTGAGCCAAGGAGCCCAGCAGAGTGGGGCTGTGTCCTAGCCTGGGTTTTCACTGCCTGTAACCACCCAGCCTGAAGAGATGAAGTGTGGCTTAAACAGAGACCTGGGTCTCCTAGGTAAGGCCTAGGAACACAGGAACATGGAGCTGGGACTGGCTAGTGAGGCCCAAGTGCCTGGAGTGGGCACAGTGGAGGCCTCTGGGGCCAGGCCAGACATACCTGGAGGGACCTGCTTGTATATTGCTGCATTGAGAAGGTGACATCTGAGGAGCCAGGGACAGGTGAAGTTTCTGGACCTAGGGTCTCTCAGATGAGAGAGAATCATCAGAATAGATACAGGGATATTGTGCTGGCTCTGAGGTAAGATCGGAAGAGTTCAGTCTGGCGTAGGCATGTGTAAGTGGTGAGGCCGGCTCATCTGTGTCCAGAGGGTGCAGCCACGGTCCAGGGCCCATGGGGCATCGTTGTGTATCGGGCTTAGGCAGGGGTGAGGTGGTAAACTGGGGGGTCTGTCAGGGCTCAGCCAGAGTCAGCACACATTGGGGAGCTCATTTTGGCTGATGATGTCTGAAGAGGAGCCAGGCCAGGTGCAGCTGATGTCTGAAGAGGCAACCCCAGGATGGGTAAAGGTACAGGGGAGATTCTAGAAGAATTCAGATGTTTATTCTGTCGAGTGGCATCTGAGGAGCCAAAATTATGGACAGGTACTTAGACCTGGATCTGTGAGTTCAGGATGGGTGTCTACAGTGGGATCTCTCTGACTGGCTCTGAAGAGTGAGCCTTGGGTATTGGATGGCTGATCACTCAAGTGCGGCTGTTAGAACTCAGATGAGACAAACATCAGAAAGTCCCCTGAGCCAGGTCAGCCTCCGGGTTCTCAGCATCCAGACCCAGTGAAACAGGCAGAGCTCAGGGTGCTGTTGAGGCCTCTGGGGTTCCATGACCAGCCCAGGACGTGTCAGTGGTATTGGGGTCTGGCTGGGGTAGGGTTTGAGGTGCTCAGATGAGGAAGTGGTAGGCATGTACCTGGTTATCAAAGGTAAGGACTGGGGAGTCGGGGCAGGTGAAGGCAGACAGGTGAACTGCTGAGGAGCTGCGTCACTAAGATGCGGTGTGAGAGGCTCACGGTAGATAAAAGTCTCCAGAAGTGTCAGAGGCACAAGTCACTCAGACCCCGTTTGGCACCAGTTGACTCTCACCAGGTTTCCCTCAGGCCACGGCAAGCAGCCAGGAATCTGTCAGGTCTTCAGGAAGAGTCTGTTCAGGTTAGGTTTGTACAGCAGGGTCTGCTAGGGGTCATCTGTAAAGCCACATGTGTTTGAGGTCTCAGAAGCTAGAATCAGACTAGGTGTGTGTAACTCGGTGTCTTGGGGAGACCCGAGGAACTGAGATGAGACAACATCTGGGCAGAAGTGAGTTGGTTAGATAAGGACACTGGAGCTGAAGATAGTTAGAGACAGAGCTGAGTCTGACAAGTGGGCTTAGAAATCCACGATTGGGTCCAGGTCAGAATTGTGTCCTCAGTTGTCGTAGCAGTTCTGGTGATCTCAGGGCAGTGGCCCAGAGGCCCCTGGGAAAAGATTGAAAAACTGGAGTCAGGCAAAGAGATGGAGCACTGCATCCATCCATCTGGAAGGTTCGGGAATTCTGTGTCTCAGGTGTGCAGAGCAGGTATGTCAGGTAAGGTTGGAGGAGTTGAGGCGAGAGACAGGCTTGTACTCCTGGTTCCTGAACAGGTGAGGTCTGAGCTGTTGAGGTCAGTCCCTGGTTTGTATTCTGAATTTGAGGAACTGAGGTTCAGTGCAGGTAGATTGAGTTTTTCAGGTTAAGGCTCTAAGCCAGAGGCAAGCTGGAAGTAGGTTGGAAAGCCACATTTGGGTTCATTAAATTCTGTCCCACAGTTGAGGTCAGGAACAAGTAGGTAGATCTGTCAAGAGAGGCCTGCGGAGCCAGAGTTACATTTATCTAGAAAGAACTGGGTTTCTTAGATGATCTCTGAGAATATGAAGTGAAGACAGGTGGATAGAGGGAGTTGTCTCAGGTGAGATCTCAGGAGCTGGCTCTCCCAGGTAAGGTCAAGATAGGTAGGTAGAACTGCTTCTTGGCAGATGTCTTACGATGATGAGTTGTGCCCAGGTGCAGGTATGTGGAATTGAGTTTCTCAGGTAAGATCTATGGAGTCTGCATAGGGGACAGGTTTTATTCTTGCGTCTCACAGGGTGAGTTAAGCACAGGTGAGTAGAGTTTGTCAGGTAAGTCTGTGGAACAAGTTCAGGAAACTGGGTCTGTCCAGTGAAATCTCAAAAGTCACAGGTGAGTCCAGGAAAGAACCAAATGTCTTAGATGACCTCTGGCGAGCTGAACTGGGGCAGAGCTAGCCTGCCGGGGCAGCCTCAGGAGCCAGGAACAAGCACGGGCAGCCAGAGGTGGCTCACCATGTGCAGTTGAAAGACCCAAGGTCATGCACAGGTCGGGGGAGGCAAGGCCGTCCAGCTGCAGGCTCAGGAACCAGGGTCAGTCTCAGGTAGAACTGACTGGTCCCACGCCAAGAAGAACCAGAGTCAAGCACAGGTGAGCAGAGCTGGCCCACTAGGTGCGGTGTGTGAGGTGCTAGAGTCATTAACAAGTAGACAGAACTGGTCTGCTGGGCATGGGCTGAGGATCCGAGTCATATACAGGTAGGCCAAGCTAGTCTGCCAGATATGGACTGAAGGTCAGGGGAATGTCCAGGTAGGCAGAACTGTTCTGTTGGGTATGGTCTGAGGCCTCAGAGTTGCACACAGGTAAGTAGAGCTGGTCTGCTAGTACAAGGAGCCAGGGTCATGTAGAGGTGGGCAGAACTGGTTCATTGGGTATGATCTGAGGACTCAGGGTCAACTACAGGTGGGCAGAGCTGGTCTGTAATGCATGGTCTGAGGATCCAGGGTCATGTGCAGGTGGGCAGAGCTGGCTGGGTAGGTATAGTTTGAGGACCCAGGGTCATGTGCAGGTAGGCAGAGCTGTCTGCTCCGTATGGTTTGGGGACTGAAGTCAAGCACAGATAGGCAAAGCCTGTGCTGGGTACAGTGTAAGAAGCCAGGGTCATGGACAGGTAGGCAGAACTGTTCCATTGGGTATGGTCTCAGGACCTGGAATCAAGCCCAGGTAGGCAGAAGATCTGAGGAGATAGAGTCGTGCACAGGTAAGCAGACCTGGTTTGCACAAGGAGCCAGGGTCAAGAACAGGTAGGTAGATGTGGTCTAGGTATGGTCTGAAGGTCCAGGGTCATGAGCAAGTAGGCAGGTAGGGCATGGTTAGGTATGGTCCAGTGGTCCAGGGTCAAGCACAGGTAGGTAGAACTCATCCTCTAAGTACAGTCCAAGGATTAAGAGTCAAGCACAGGTAAGAGTGAGCCCAGGTAAGAGTGAGCACAAGTACCGCACAAGGAGCCAGGGCCAAGAGCAGGTAGGTAGAGGGGCCCACATGGTGCAGCCGGGGGAACCAGGAACATAGGGGTAGGCAGAGCCCGGCCTCTCTGGTATGGTCTGAGGATCCAGGTCAAGCACAGGTAGGCAGAGCGCGGTCTGTCAGGTATGGTCTGAGAGTCCAGAATTGCGTACAGGTAAGCAGAGCTGGTCCGCCAAGTGCAGTCTAAGGATCCAGAGTCACGTACAGGTAGGCAGCACTGTCCGCTTGAGTCTGAGGACTTGAGCACAGGTAGGCAGAGTTGGCCCACACGGTGTATCATAAGGAGCCGGGGTCAAGTGCACAGGTAAGCGGAGCTGGTCCACTCGGTACAGCACAAGGACCCAGGGTCATGTACAGGTAGGCAGAGCTGGTCTGTCAGGTATGGTCTGTCCAGAGTGGTGTACAGGTAGGCA